TTTACTGAGATGATGTCCTGCAAGAGCAGCCCTAGGCTGCAAAATTCACGAGTTGAGTTTGAAATAAATAAAACCCTGGTGTTTATTAGAGATCCAAGTGGGGATGTTGAACAGGTGGACATACCTAAGGCTGGAGATTCAGGGAAAGCCTGTGCTAGACGTATTAATTTTAGTGTAGTAACCTCAAACATAGCATTTAAAGCCACAGACTGGATGAAATTACCTAGGAGTTAGTACAAACTAAGAAGAAATGAGGTCCAAGCATTGAGCCCTTTCTGCTCACCAAAAGGAAGGAGTAAACCAGGAAATGCAGAGTAGAGAATCTGACGCTGGAGGCAGAATCCCCACATTGATGGCAAAAGGAGGCCCGAGAACTACAGGTCTCAAGAGTAACTTTTCTGAATTGGAGCTAGAGAATGAGGGTCCTGGGAGAGATATCACCAATAAAAAAACACAGACGTAAACTTGACTGAAGTTATTGAGATTTAAATTAGGGTTCAGAGTTTGGGGATGAATCAGAGATAGAAAAACAGAACAGGCAGATGGAAGAACAAGATAATTATTAATGTAATTTATGTAAATATATATATACAGAAATGCTAAAAATAGAATTGCATCAATAATATATATATAGAATATTCACAGATCTATAAACATAAAATGCTGAGTTAACCATAAACTTTTATTATTATGAGGATTCCAGGGGAAGCGGTATAAACTAAAAAATAAGAAATCATAGTATAAGGACATTAGAGCCATGCCACTTCTAAGTATATATCCAAAAAAATTCAAAACAAGGATTCAGACGTGTACATGTTCATAGCAGTACTGTTCAAAATAGCCAAAAGGCGGAAACAGTCCAAATACCCATTAACACATTATAGTATATACTTACAGTGGAATATTGTTCAGTCATAAAAAGAACTGATACATGCTATAACATGAACCCCAAAAACATCATGCAAATTGAAAGCCAGACATAAAAGGTCACATATTGTATGATTCCATTTATATAAAATACCCAAACTAGGTAAGCCCATAGGGACAGAAAGCAGATGGGTGGTTTGCCAGGGCCTGGGGGGAGAGGAGGAGGAGTGACTGACTACAGGGGGCTTTATTTTGGGGTGATGAAAATGTTCTGGAACTAAATAGGGGTAGTGGTTGTATAATATTATGAATATACTAAATGCCTCTGAATTATTCACTTTGAAATAGTGAATTTTAAATGAATTTCACCTGTTTCAAAAAATTCTTTAGAAATAAGGCACATTGTCAGAGAAATAGGTGAGTTGAAGTTAGTCACCCGACTTCAGCCTGCAAAAGGGAAGGGACTGTTCATCTAGAAGTGTTGTAAAATGGTATGTTTTAAAGTCGCATATATGCATACCTTCAATTTAAAAACAGTAGGATTAACAACTGTCACTTGAAGATTTTTAAATGAACAGTTTTTGAAGGAAACCTAGGTGTTCACATATGTGTAATTTGGACAAATAAGATTTATATGCTGGCCCTGGCCAGTGTGGCTCAGTTGGTTGGAGCATCATCCCTTTCACCAAGGAATGGTGGGTTCGATTCCTGGTCAGGGCATATAGCCTGGTCACAGTTCAATCCCCAGTCGGGGCATGTGTGGGAGGCAGCTGCTGGATGTTCCTCTCTCTCTCCCTTCCTCTCTTTAAAATATCAATAAAAATGTTTTTAAAAAAAACTGTGCTGATTCCAACTGTGTCAAAATAGATGTACAAATAAAAAGCATATGGGAATTTGTGTTTAAAAAGGGAGAATAAATGTCTGTCTAGAATACAGATGAAGACCATACTATATTAAACAGAAGGAAGAAGCAGAAAAAAAAATTAAAAATTTAGGCCGGCCAGTGTGGCTCAGTGATTGAGCATCAACCCATGCACCAAGAGGTCGCTGGTTTGATTTCCGGTGAGGGCACATGCCCAGGTTGTGGGCCCAATGCCCAGTGGGGGGCATGCAGGAGGCGGCCAGTCGATGTTCTCTCATCAATGTTTCTCTCTCTCTTTCCTTAAAATTATTATTTTTTTTAATTTAAAAATTTAATTAGACCGATCCATTAAAAAACAAAGATCAATAAGGAAAATCACTAGGGACAGTATCAATAAAACTCTTAAACTTCTAAAGCAAACAGCATACACAAGATTGAAATTTGGGGAAATATTTTAAAAAGGAACTGGGAAGAATATGTAGCACATGATGAAAGTTTCAGGGTAACAATGTTCCAAAATAGAAATTGGAATAGCACCTGAATAGACAATTCACAAAAAGTAAACGTAAGATATTCATCAATAACCAAAGAAGTAAAACAGAATAAAGAGCATTGCCTCTTTTCACGAAGATTTAAACAATTAAAAAGAAAAACAATTTTTAAAGGATGTGGAGAAATATTCTCATGCACTTTTTGAATACTTATCAGTCCACTATGAAAGGCAGTTTTGCAAAATACACAAAATATAAAATATACATGCCAAAGAGGTCATTTCTGGTAGTCACACAACTACAAGGCAAATTGTGTTACATGGCAAGTATGGAATACTATGTCCACAAGTAGGGCATAAGGATTATGGAACAATGTATGTTGTATGATTCATGTGCAAGCGTCTGTGAATAAATATATTAGCAGGTTATCATCTGGAGGGATGTTCACTAAAGAAACTGTTATGATTTAACTACCACACAATAGGTTTTTGAGAATCTAAACCCCCATATCACACTTCAAGTGGGAGGCCTGTTTCTGAAAGCCAAGTTTGACCCCTCTGCCCACATTCAAAATGATTGCAGGTGGTTTTTCCATTTTCTTCCTTGCATTAAATATCAAGTACAACTTTTTTGAGGTATTAAAAAACCTCCAGCATGCAGTCTAATATTTGGAGTAATTGTTGACTTGATGGCAATAATTAAAATAAACACTCCTTATAATTTAAAAGAAAATCTAGAGATGCTTTGACCTACAACCGATGGTCCAGAACCATCAATACCCAACATTTTGCTAGCTACCTAGAATTCACAATCCTTTTTGCAAAGGACGCATTGTTTTACTTGTTCATCACTCTTAGAAATGTTTACCGTATCACAGTAAGTTGATTCCTTTGTTTATGATGGTTAGCCACTTTTAAGATATGAACACAAAAGCACAAGAGATTAAAAACTTACATTTAACACTAGGTAATGGGGCAAAATACTGAAAGTTTTCACACCTGTTACATTTAACACTAGGTAATGGGGCAAAATACTGAAAGTTTTCACACCTGTTTCCCACAGTTGTAAACGCGTTAGGAAGGGGACTGCATCAGTCTGCACACTCAGCATAGAGCACACTTCAAGCCAATATATGGTCCTGAAGAACAAGGTAAGTTATTTAGGTGTCTATACCCCGCCCCCATCTGTCTCTAACAGGGTATCAATGCTAGTTCCCATACTGGTCTCTTGAAAACGAGGACTTTACCCAACAGTCTTACCCTACTACTTGAGGGTAAAGCTTAAGTAAAAAGCTTATTCTTTAACTTTTTCTATGTTCTGAAGGAGCGTGGCTCTGTAAGCCAGCCATTCAACTTATCATTTCCTGGTTTTACAATCTTAAACAGCTCACTCCAGTTGTTCAAGAGAACTGCCCCTTTCAAACAGGGATATCCATGTACCTCATTAGGTTTTAAGAATTAAAAGAAATATCCTGACAATACCCAAGTGACTAAATTTTATTTTCACTCATCCAAAAGTTGCAAGGCTCTGGGACCTGAGCTCACCTCAATTCTTTCTGTTCCCTCTGCTCCACATGTAACTGTGCTTGCTTACCGTTCCCTGAATTCCTTCTTCATCTTTAAGCCTCACCACCAAGTCTGGAAGAAATACCACTTTCTTTTGAGGTCCCTCCATACTAAAAATGCTCCTTCTCCAGAGACACTTCCATATATATTTGATACTACACTGTGGATAATATCTATCAGTTATACCTCAGTATTTAACATAAAATGCATCAAAAATACTTAGAAACAGCTGGGCTGGTGTGGCAAGTGGATTGAGCATCATCCCAAGGACTGAGGTACAGGTTTAATTCCTGGTCAGGGCCCATACCTAGGTTGTGGGCCCAGTCTCTAGTTGGGGGGCATGCAGGAGGCAGCCAATCGATGTTCTCTCTCATCGATGTTTCTATCTCTTTCTCTCTTTCCCTTCCTCTCTCTCTGAAAATCAATAAAGGAAAAAAAAAAAACTCGCCCTGGCTGGTTTGGCTCAGTGGCTAGAGCGTCGGCCTGCAGTCCAGAGAGACCCGGGTTCGGTTCCCGCTGGGGGCTCGTACCTTGATTGCAGTTTATCCCTGGCCCTGGATGGGCTGTGCAGATGGCAACCACTCGATGTTTCTCTCTTCCTCCCACTCTATCTGAACAAATGGAAAAATGTCCTCGGGTGAGGATAAAAAAAAATTTTTTCAGCTGGATGCAACCCTAGCCGAGTGGCTCAGTTGGTTGGAGCATTGTACCACAAGGTTTTGGGTTCCACTCCCAGTTGGGGCACCTAAGGGAAGCAACTGATTGCTGTTTCTTTCTCTTCAGTCAATAAAAAACATATCCTTGGGTGAAGATTAAAATAAATAATGGATGCTATCTCATACAGCGCTCTGTGGAATCACACAATTTTAATGCTGCAAAAACACTTCCACATCTACAAAGAGCAACACGTGAATCACTGATACACAATTTTTTAAGGGAAAGAAATACAAAACATACTCCTAGTTAAACAACTTTATTGCTTGAGTACATAGACATTTTATGCAACCAGGGCAGAGGCTGTGGATGACTCGCTGAAAAGGAAAAAGGGGGGAGGGGAAAAGACTGGGTTAATACAGGTCCTCTATATTTATTCATACAATCCCCCAGCTAATAGAGTCATTTCCAAACAGCTAAAATAATCCCCAATATATAAAATGCACCAAACTGCTAAATTGAGTAAGTTTACTGTGGCCCAAGCACAACAACTAAAGATGCTCACTCAGACATCCAAGGAAGAACTGACCAACATAAGGTAAAATCTTTCTGGTGGAAACTGCGAATGTATGGAAATCAATCATCATAGTGAGCAACTGATACAAAAATAAAGACAACAAAAACCTGAGAGCAGAGGCATGAACTGACCCACTATCTAAAAGGGATTCAAAGGGGGTGGGGTTCAAGTTCTAAATCAGGGGTTTGCAAACTATGGCCCTTTGCCTGTCCTTTGCAAATAAAGTGTCAATGGGAAACAGCCACACCCATTTGTTTATGTATGTCTATGGCTGTATTCCTGTTATAATGGCAGAGTTGAAAGAGAAGTTGAACATGTAGCCATGACCTAAAACATTACCACTATCTGTCCTTTAACTACATTAACTATATGGCTAACTCTTGTTCTTGGTAACATAAGATTAATACTTACTATTTCCAATTGGGGGGGAGGACTCGTTTGGTCTTGTAATATCGAGCCAATCGGTGAATACGGCTCTCAATCAGAATCAGACGGAATTTAGCATCCTTATCCTAAAAATAAAAATTGACAGAATTCAAAAAAACCAAACAGCTAAACATTATTTTAACAAAGGAATGTATAGACACCATGGACTTTAATGAAAACAGTTACCCAATGTCCTATAACAGAATCACAAGCTCAGGTTCATGCGGCTACCTTAAGGGAATCTAACGTTTCCTTCCACCAGATTGGGCAGGAACGATTTGTAAATCTCAGCAAATAGCTCAACGTTTCAACCAACCGAATATACTGTATTTAGGGAAGCCAAAGCTCCTCCCCCCATCTCTTCTAGAATTTTAATTTCAAAGCAATCTAGCTCATGCCCTAAACCATCTTATATAATTCAAACCAGATGCATTATATTTTATTAAAGTATGTTAGCACAAGCAGTTCTGTCCTTACCTTTCTGTTCCTCTCAAGATGCTTTCGAACAGCAACAGCTTTCTTAATTAAATGGTAGAGATCCTCAGGAAGATCAGGAGCAAGTCCTTTGGACTTAAGAATTCTCAAGATTTTATTGCCTGTCACAAAGCGTACTTGTGCTACACCATGTGAATCTCTCAAGATCACACCTGTAAAGGAATACATTATAAATTCCCACACCAAACACACAAACTCAAGGTTCTGAGATCAAGTCACTTTTCAAGTTTCCCACCTGTAAAATGGGGCTTGCTTTTATATTTTATACGCCACAGCAACCAACATGAGAATTCACACAAAGCTCACTCAGACATCCAAGGAAGGTTTGCCCAACACTTAGGAAAACCCTTCTGGTGGAAACTGCGAATGTTGGAAGACCATCATCATAGTGAGCTTGCTAAATTGGAGGACATCAAAGCTTTTAGTAAAATTCTGACTCTGTATATTTGCTCAATTAGAACCAGCTAATGTTTATGAAGATCAGCTATTCTTCTAAAACTTTCATGTACCTTATTTTTAAAAAATCTCAAAATAGCACCATCCAACTACATGGCAGTCTGCTGTGATCCCTCCACCATACTACAAGCTCCAGGAGGGCAAATAGTTATCCTTTTTTCTACTTCCGTATGTATTCTCAGGGTCCACAACCACACAGCACACAAACATTTGCTTAATGAAGCCACTTACAAAGTAAGTGTCACACAAGCTTAGGTTCAAGCCACATCTAACGGGGAAAGTGGACAAGCACTCTTGATTAACCAATCTCCACTCCTTCACCTCATGGCTGTGTGATTTGAGGCCAGTTGTACAACCACACTGTGCCTCAATTTCCACAACTGCAAGATGGGGAAACTTATAATATTTATTTTAAAGTACTGCTGTCGCAATTAAACGAGGTCGGCATAGGTAACGCGCTTAGAACCATGCACTTACGAGAGTGCCTAACCCACAGTATACACTCATTCGATTTTTGAGAACGCTTTAACAATTTTACCGTTTTCAGAGAACTTCAGAGTTCAACAAATAAAGATGAGGTCTCAGTCATCAACAGTAAAGCCAGGAAAAAAGGACAAAAGGTTTTCAAGGTACGTATGGGGACGCCTTTACCACCCCCACCCCTTTCTAGCAAGTTACACGAGGGAAGGCGGAACGGGCTACATTAGACAAAAACACTCACCGATTTGCGAGGGAGTCAGGCCCTTCTTGGCCAGTTTGTAGATCTGCTCCTTCACATCGTCAGACGTCAACTTCAGCCACTATTTGTAAAAAAGAAAGCGACCTTAGGAGGACAAAACTGGGATGGCACCGATGCACGGCGGCCCCACCACTCTCGAAGTGGCACTCTTCATGCACACATGGCGCCCCGCCCGGCGCCCCTTTCCCGGAGCGACGAATGGCACCCCCGCCCCCTCTCCCTGGCCCCCGCACGCTACTTACGGTGGGGACGCTGCGGCGGTACGGCAGAGCCGACTGGGACAGGCCCTTCCTGGGGAGAGAAGCAATTTGGGATGAAGTGGCGCTCTGTGCCACAGCGGCCTAGAACATCACCCCCCCGACCCGCTGCCCACCCTCGCTCCTTCCCCCCGACCTCGCGGCCGAGCCCTGCACCCCGCGGGGACACCCAAGCTCACCCGGGAGCGTGCATGCGACCCATGATGGCGGCTGACTGGCAGCGGAAAAGAGACCGAGAACTGGAAACGCCGCAGGAAGCCACCCAGCACGCAGGAAGTGACCTCACACGTCCCCGCTTCCTCGCCCGTTGGAGGCGGGGCTACGCGGCGTAGCCCTCGGCTTCCGCGTAACTACAGACGCCGAAATGCATTGCAATGGGGTAGTGGATCGTCCGTCCACAGGACTACACATCCCGGCATGCACCGGTCTTCGCAGGGCTGCGGGCAGAGCGGGCAGTAAGCCCGCCTCCAGCCGGGACTGGGTGCGTCCGAAGGTGCTGCCGCGCCAGGGTGGTGCAGGTTCGAAGCCGGAAAGAGAGAGGGCGTGACGCAGAGACAGCTGCAGGGGTTGGTGGACTTAGTCCCCGCGCTAGGAAAGGCCCGTTATCTGCGCCCCGGCCCTCCGCTGATTTGGGAGCCTGAAGTTCAGCCACGCACAACTAGTTGTTCGTTCTTTCACCAACGTCGTCCTTATCTTGGCACTAGACACCTCAAAGGCTGTCCCTGCCCTTCATAAATTCTCAGGTACAATACCATGGTGATCAATGCCACACTGGAAGTAATGAATGTAATGGGTGGGCAGAGCCTGGTGAAGCGTGTGCCCCAGCGAGCGAGTTGAACCGGGAAGCGCTTTGGGAACAGGATTGCAAAGGCAGGAGGAGCTGGGTGTAGGGAAGAGTGTAGGGTGAGAGAATGAATGAATGAGGCGTTTGAACTTCCTGGCCAAAGGGAACCGCCATGAAGCTCTTAAGACTGAGTCAGAGCTGGCATCCGGCGAATGTGTTGAAAATTGAGCAAATGAAGGGACGTTTTAAAGCAACGAATGGCCCTGGAAAGGAGGGAGGTCATTCAGTTCAGTAAACGACTCTCAAGTTTGAAGTAACTGATGAGACTTTGAAAGAAACTCTAGGTAGTGAAACATCCAGCCCCACTCTTTCAACCTGTGACTATTTGTTTAGTAACTTTTTTCAAAGCATTAAGAATTTTATTCACATTGAGGAATCTGTTTTTACCTAGACAAGATGCATTCTTATGGTTAGCCAAATTTACATCTTTAGCCCAGGAATAGGTTTTAACATGGCTCCAATTTCCAATCCCCAGCCCTTAATTTCAGTTAAACACTACCCATTTGCTCAAACCACAAACCTTTGAGTCTGTTTTTCCTTTCTAATTCCCATTAGAGTCATCTCAGTTCTACCACAAAACTATATCACGAAGACGTTCACTTCTCTCCATTTCCACTACTACCCTCAATCCAAGATGAGAGCTACCACCAGCTCTTATCTGGCCAACTCGGTGTGGTATCCCAACTATTTGTGCTTTTACTCATATCCCCACCACAAACATATACAACCCATTCTTACCTAGTAGTCACAGTGATCTTTTAAAAATATAAATCAGGCCATTGGGGTAGCTCAGTTGGCTAGTGAACTATCCCCATAGACCAAGGTTTCAGGTTTAATCCCCCGTCAGGGCAAATACAAGAATCCACCAATGAATGCATGAATAAATGGAACAACAAATCGATCTCTCTCCCTCTCTAAAATCAATAAAGAAAAATGTTGTCATAATTTATTACTCCTCTGCCAAGTACAACCCTTCTACCCTTTCTCAGTGCATTTAGAAAATCCGAAGCCTTGACCTGGATGTCATCAGAGAAGCCTTCCCTGAGGAAAACCATGTAATGTAGTGTTCCTCCTTTCCAATAGAATATCCTGAGTATCTTCATAGCACATGAACCTGGCATTTTCCTTTCTAGTTGCTTGTTTGGTTGTCAGCCTCCAATAAAATTCCAAGTTTGAGGGTAGACTATTCATTGCTTTTACCTCTAGCACCCAGAACTGGGCCTGGCAGGCAGGAAAGTTAGGTACTCATGAACCTAAGTAATTCATTCCCCATTTGAAGATGTCTAGACTACAAACTTGATTTCAGGAGGCAGTAGAAGATAGTGGGAAGAGTAAGATCCAACAATCTAGTCCTAGATTACAGTACATCTGTCTGATTTGGGTCACACGAGTTTCTTAAGCATTGCTGAAATGATCTGCCCTCAGCCCCTTGACATCCATTATGTCTTCTAGTGGAAAGAATGAGGGATGTCAATGATGTAACCAACACCAGTACTGGGTTGTTTTGAGAATACCATTTTGGTTTTTAAAAAATCAGTTGTTAAGAAAGACCATACAACTTTTCTAATAAGGGTATAGGAATATTGACTCAAATATTTATTCATGGGATAGAAAATATAACTATTATTTCAAGGTTTCTTTTTTTTCAGTCATGTTTAAACCCTCCACTAATTTTTTTGGTGTAGGGGTGTGGTACGTGCCCCTAGCGGAAACCGAACCCAGAACCCTCTGGTCTGCAGGCCGAGGATCAACCGCTGAGCCAAACTGGCCAGGGCTCCACTAGTTTTTATTTTTATTTTATTTTTTATCCTCACCCGAGGACATTTTTCCATTTTTTACTCAGATAGGGCGGGAAGGAGAGAGAGGAAGAGAGAGAAACATCGATGTGAAAGGGACACATCAAGTGGCTGCCACCCACACGACCCAACCAGGGCGTGGGACAAACTGCAGCCAAGGTACATGCCCTTAGCGGGAACCGAACCCGGGTCTCTGTGGACCGCAGGCTGACGCTCTAACCGCTGAGCCAAACCGGCCAGGGCAAGTTTTTAATTCACTTTATCTGGTTACATATGTATCAATTATACCAAAGATAAAATATGTAGTTAAGTGTGTTGAATTTTAATCAAATGGTGTTTATTAAGCCAGGCCCTATTGCCTTTATATGTGGCATGTTTTGTTTTGTTTTTTTGTTTGAGAACTTTCATAAATTGGAACCTTCTGATTTTTTAAACAAAAACGGGGTAAATTATTTTACTTTCTAAAAAAAAAAAAGTCACTGTTAACACAATTGCTTATTAGCCCTGGCTGGTTTGGCTCAGCGGTTAGAGTGTCATCCTGTGGTCCAGAGACACCCGGGTTCAGTTCCCACTAAGGGCACGTACTTTGGTTGCAGTTTGTCCCCGACCCTGGTTGGGTTGTGCGGGTGGCAGCCTCTCAATGTGTCCCTTTCATGTCTATGTTTCTCTCTCTCTGCCTCCCACTCTATCTGAACAAAATATGGAAAAATGTCCTAGGGTGAGGATAAAAAACAACAACACACAATTGCTTATTAGAGATTCTGTGTTAAGTTTTAAAAAATTGTATAGCCTTTAAAATTGTTTAGTTAAAATTTACATACCACAAAATTTGCTATTTTAACCATTTCAAAGTGTATAATTCAGTGTTGTTTAGTACATGCACATGAATGATATTGCATTGTATGGATATATCACACTCTGTGCATCGATCAATAGAAATTTGATTTATACTTTTTGGCCATTATGAATAATGCTATGAACATGTGTGTACAAGTATTTAAGTCCCTGTTCTCAATTCTCCTTGATGTGTGTGTACACACACAGACTTTATGAATTGCTGGGTCATAGAGTAACTGTTTAACTTTTTGAGAACTGCCAAACTGTTTCCACAGCAGCAGCAGTTTTACATTCCCACCAGCAATACATGAGGCCTCCAATTTCTCTACATCCTCACTTTTTATTCTCGCTATCCCAGTGGGTGTGAATTAGTAACTCACTGTAATTTTGGTTTGTATTTCCCTAATGACTAATGAGGTTGAGCATCTTAATGTGATTGACCATTTTAGATTATTCAGTCATTTGCCCATTTATAAATGGATTTGGCTTTTTGTTGAGTTTTAAGAGTTCTTTATGTATTCTGGATACCAGGCCCTTATCAGATATATGATTTGTGACTATTCTCTCCCATCCTGAGTTGTCTTTTTACTTTATTAATAGTGTCTTTTAATGCACAAAATATTTTAATTTCGATGCAACCCAATTTATTTTTTGTTGTTGTTTGTGCTTTAATTTTTAACAAAATATGTATTTTAGAGAGGAGAAAGAAACCTCAATGTGAGAGAAACATCGATCAGCCACCTCCCACACACAACCTGACCAGGGATCAAACCTGCAACCTGCGCATGTTTCCCCACTGGGAACTGAACCTACCGCCCCTTGGTGTATAGAACAATATTGCAACCAACGAAGCCACACTGGCTATGGCGCTTGTGCTTTCTGTGTCATGCTTAAGAAACCCTTGTGCTATCCGTTACAAAGAAGTACACCTGTTTTCTCCTAAGTTTTATAATTTTAGTTATGGTTAGGTCTTTGATCCATTTTGAACTAATTTCCATGTTGTAAGAGTCCTACTTCATTCCTCTGAATGTGGTTAATTGTCCTTTGTGGAAAAAAACTATTCCTTCCCCATTGATCTTGTCAGTCTTGTGAGTCTTTTCTGGATCATGATTCAAAGAAAAAAAAAAAAGTTATTCTAGAAATGAAAAATAAAACAAAAGAAAAGGAAAGAAAAATACAACCACCAATATTTAAAACTCAATGGATGGTCTGGCTAGTGTGCTCAGTGGTTGAGTGTCGACCCATGCATCAAGAGGTGGCCGGTTCGATTCCCAGTCAGGACACATGCCTGGGTTGTAGGCCTGATCCCCAGTGGGGGCATGCCAGAGGTGGCCAGTGGATGTTCTCTCTCATCGATGTTTCTCTCTCTCTCTCCCTCTCATTTCCTCTCTCTGTAAAATAAATAAAGGGGAAAAAAATTTTTTTTAATTAAAAAAATAAGTAAAACTCTATGGATAAACAGTTGAAGAGAGAAGCAGTTAATTAGAGAAGTCATGGTAAGTTATTCAGAAATGAAATTACTGATGCATAGATTTAAGAATTCTAAATAGAAAAAAAATGACACATATCCTAGGCACATCCTAATTAATATAGATCAAATAAGACTAGACCTAAGGTATTAATTGTTATAGGGGTATGACAGATTAATTCATGGAGTTCACTATACTGTTGTCTAATTTTGTATATGTCTAAAATTTGCCTGATAAAGTGTTTCGAAAGAGTAGGGGTGAAATAAAGTAGGTTTTCTTTTCTGACAGAAACTGAATTTATCACCAAAAAAACCCTGGCTGTAATTGTTAAGTTGTTGCTCTTCATAGTCTCTGGGCCCTTTTACATGTTATGGTATGGATTAGAAGAATCTACATTTCCCTGTTGTATAGATATGTCTATAACATGGCTGTTACTACACTATTTAATATTTAAATAAACTACCAAAGGCCAGGGACCATACTCACAGAAGCATTTAAATTCTATGAAATGGTGATGGGGCTCTAGGCAAGTGGCAATCCAGACCTTCAAAGAACCACACTTAGAAATCAGACACACTATATTTAAACATCCTACGGGGCAACTAACAGGTCAGTTCTGAAATTCAGTATTATTTGAACCTAACAAACTCCTGGGTACAATGCAAAGAATAGCAACTGTGAGCTCAAAGTTTGGAACCAAAAACATTAATATGTTGACGAGGAAAGAAATGATAGGAGAGGAGTTCCTTTATTCCAGAAATATTTTAATAAAATTGTAGTACAGTTATGAAGTCACATCCAATCCACTGAATATATTCAAAGTATTAATAAAAAATATTATACATCTTTACTCACTACCTTAATATAATTAAAGTATTTGGTTCTTATAAATCAGACTAATTGCCATATTCATTCATATTTGCACTGCTAGCCAAACAGCATGTAAATCAATCTATACATTATAGTAGTGTGGCTTTAGTCCTTTTTGATCTGAAAACTAAGTATCAAAATTGAATGTTTTATTTTTTAAATGCCACAATACCTGAATCCTAGAAAAGAATGGTTAACCAACTTAAGGCAAGATATTGAAACTTTTATTCAACTTTAATTTGAAAAGAATACTTTATCAAAGATCATACATGCCTTAACATTTAGATACCTATTCATTCTTATAAGGCAGTAATAAAAACATCAGTGCAAGTTCTACATTAGGTTCCTCAGTAGAGAAAACGAGGTTCTGGGAGTAAACTATTATTTTCAAATCCCAAAACACTTTCAGAGGAAAGAATTTTTTCTGGTGTGGGACTTATATAGTGTGTAATTATTTTTACTCCATAAAGATAGAAATAAAATGTGATTATACATAAAATTAGTGTCTTGGCCGGTTTGTTTAAACTTCTCTTTGATTTACTTGAAAAAAAAACCCAAATGATTTAAAATCTATTGATAGTACTAGTGCCTTTAAAGAGGTGCCTCTGTCCCCTTATTTTTTTATTTTTTATTTTTGGTAAGGGCTGAAGATTAGCATTTCACAAAGATATAACTTATATTAAAATATATGTAAAGTGTGTGTGTGGTGTTTTAATGACCAAAGCAAGCACAAAACGACTTAAATTAAGAGAAAACATTACCACTTGCTCTGAACTCTAGTTAACTATACAATATTAATCCTAATATACACTTTTAGATAAGAATCCAGATTTCTTGTAATAGAAAAGGGACATCACATTTTCTAGCTCTATTATTTGTGCTAAGAAACACTGCAGTAATTAACTGCAAGTAGACAATATATATTGAGTTCAGTTAACAATGACCTTTTACCAAAACTGTACTTTTACAATGGCTAAGTGACAACTTGTGGAATGGATTAGGTCTCAAAAGCTTAAGTGAAAATATCTACTATTTCTTCTGTACATTTATAAAGTTACTTACATAGTTGAAGAAACTGTTAACAGTAGGAAAAGGAAAAGGAAAATAAATGGTGGTGCTTTGATCTGTATTTTAATTATTGTATTAAATAGATGACAGATTTTAACATTAAAAAAAAAGACATTCATATATCATACTCATGGGGTTTTCTACAAATGGACCATTAGTGTTAGGCACCAAAAATTTCAAGTTTTTTTTTTTTTTTTTAGCCTGTCCCACTGATATATCCTCAACTCATCTACTTCTGCTCTGCAGGTATCACCATGTACATTAAACATTTGCACAGTTCATAAAAATTCTGTTCTGGACAACTGAATTGCAAACTGTCCTTTCTTTCTTGGTATTCTATATTGCATATTTTGTCAGTTATTTCACAGCACCCAGATTGTTACAATCTCTATTATCACCTAAAAAGTGAATTTCTATTTTAGCCATGAGAATATTATATATACATATTTATCCAAACTAAACACAACACTGAGCGTGAAGTTGATTAACTAATAAAAATGAATCTTATTCTTAATGATTACTGTAAATAATTTCAATCATGTCCCTTATGATTCGAAGTCACATTATATTAAGGAAAAGAATTTTTGAATGTACAATGTTTACAAATGTAAGACAGTCTACGAGACCAACTTTGCCATAAAAATCTACATTAAAATTCAGTCTAGACCCCAGAATTCTTGTCCTGGGCCTGTGAAGAGTCTGCCCTGCTCACTGGAGTTCTACAAAACAGGAATGAGTACATGGGTAAACAATTTTCACTCATTTAATGAGGGAGTAACATACAGATATATGGAAGTGAAACTACCAAACTTCAACTCTCACTCCTGGGAATAAATGTAGAACTATAATGGAATGATGTAATTTAGTGTACAGCTACATTGATGAATCTCATTCAATAAACAGATAACAAAAACAAAAATCAAATGGCTGACTTTAAATAACGAAGTCATATATCAGAAGTAGAGAAAATGATCTTTCTGTGGGAAAAACAGCAGTAAATGTAAATAATTCCTTGTCTTGAGTGAAAACTACTTACTATTTATCTAGCCAGGAAAAATAATCAGAATGAAGTACCAGGTAAGCATGTGAAGTTAAGGCACCATTATTTACAACTTCAGTAATTGGCACTTAATTCTGAAAAAGGCTTTAAAGACATGAAAATAGAAAGCAATATTATTTCCTCCTAGGTCTATAAACTACTTAGTAGTTCTTAACATATCTATAGTTTGTGCTTTGCTTTTCCACCCTGTGAATAGCAGCTGCATTTTACGGTAACGTCCTGCACCTTTCCTTTCCTTTGGTGTTTGCAAACATGCACAGTGGTAAAGGCTGTAGAAGGTGCAAAACAGGAAAACAAACCGTGTCTGTGTAAGAAACAATGAAAAACAAACCAAACTAAAGCTATTACTCTGAATTACTTGAGAGGATTAAATTGTTCAAGTCTTTTTCAGACTTGTTATATATTAAGTTTAGGGTCTGTAACATTCTATATAATGACTTTAAAACGGCAATGGTTTCAACAAATTCATAAAAGTTATGTGACTGTTGGTCCAACATGTGTGTTGAAATGTAGCAAGTACATTTACTTTATAATTTCTGAACAAGTATAAAAATACTATACAAAGTTTTCAAGTGTAGCGTGTGTACGTGTGTATGTGCGTGTATCCACATAGTTACAACTATTCTTACTTCCAAAGCTCAGAAATTCACTAGCTTACAAATAGGTTGCTGCAGTCAGCTGGTACCACTTAACCGTCTCTTTGCTCAAGTTGAAATCTTTCAAAGGCAAGGTTATTCCACCCAAGAAAAAATTTTCCCGCAGAGATTCTGCACTGAGAACACTTAGTTGAAGTTCTCTCTGTCTTAGGGTTTCTTTGCTATATCCATTGTACACAAGCTACAGCAAAGGCAAAAAGAAAACAAAAGTTACAAATTATGTATTTGTTTCTTGGATTATTTTAAGTAACAACATAAGTGAGATCAAAGAGTGACTATAATTCATGACAATGATTATGACACAACTGGTGGAATCTGTCCCATGCTTTAGGTGCACATTTTGTAATTCAGGAGTCCTGAATTGTATTATCAGCCATCTGAGAGCCTGATATAGAAATGTACAAAGTAGAAAGTTATTATGACTTAAAACTAAAACCATGGTTTTTCTGAGATAGAGGTATAGGGAAGGGAAAATAAATTATAAGGCAGCATGCACTAAGATGATCTAATAGCTGGGAAAAAGAGAATAGAAGGAAGTTGAGACAGCATAATTATAATTTTACAAAAGATGAGGGCCCTGGCTGGTGTCACCCAGTGGTTAGAGCATCAGCCCAAGCACCAAAGGGTCTTGGGCTTGATTCCTAGCCCCAGTTGGGGCATGTGCAGGAGGCAATTGGATGGGTCTCTCTCACATCAATGTTTCTTTCCCTCCCTCCCTCCCTCCCCCGCTCCCTTCCTCCCTCCCTCCCTCACCCCCTCACCCCCTTTCCCTTCCACTCTCTCTAAAAATCAATGGAAAGCCTACAGGTGTGGCCCAGTGGACTGAGTGTTATCCCATGCACCAAGAGGTCACTGGTTTGATTCCTTTTCAGAGCACATGCCAGGGGTGCAGGCTCAATCCCCAGTAAGGGGTGTGCAAGAGGCAGCCAAATGATGTTTCTCTCTCATAGATGTTTCTCTCTCTCTCCTTCCCCCTTACCCTCTCTCTAAAATCAATAAAAACACATTTTTAAAAAGTCAATGGAAAAAAAAAATGCTCAGGTGAGGATTAACAAAACAAAAAAGAGGGATTAAAATTTTCTTTTTTCTTTTTGGTCTTTTTCTGTTGGATTTTATATACAATGAAATGATAATTTCTGATTATCTATAATCCAGTGCAAACTCACCAACTACAAAAGTAGTTAACAGCAAATCTGGAGTACTGAAAAGCTACTCTCTTTCAAATACATTCAACACTTAGAATTTTTATTTTTCAAGAAAGTTTCACAATGAGAAACATATTCCCTAGTCTAGTCCTTTTTCATTGTTTGACTCTAAGAACTAAAAAACTGACCCATTTCATTTTATTGAAAGCACAACACTAACTAGAAAATAGCCAATACTGCTTTTAATATATATATATATGTTTTTATTGATTTTTTAGAGAGAGACAGAAACATCAGTGTAAGAGAAACATCTATTGGCTACCTACTGCATGCCCCTCACTGGGGATCAAGCTTGCAACCAGGGCCTAAGCTCTGACTGGGAATTGAACCAGGACCACTCAGTCCATGGGACGATGCTCAATCCACTGAGCCACACCAGCCGGCACATTTTATATGTGTTTAATGGGCTGAAAGGATATTCTAAAGTTTTAATACATTTATAATCTTGATGAAAGTTCAGAACTCTTTGCTTTCAAATTTCTATCCTGACATTTTTGTGTGGATATAATGTTAATGTGCACAAATAATGTTGTGTTTATCCTAAAGAAGCAGCTGACTAAGAATTAGTGGGTTTTAGCAGATGAGGAAGTCTGTAAGTTGACCGTGAGTAGCTGAGCAGTCACAGTTTTGCCAGTTCAGTCCAGGCCCTGCCTGCTGCTTTCAGTTTGGAGCACTCTATTTCAAGAGGGTTGTGACAGAATAAAACAAATTAGGAGGAGGATAGTTTTGAAACTACATCCTATCAAGCAAAGATAAAGGTAATGAAGATATTTTAGAAGTATTAACAGAAAAAGCATTTAAACTTCAATTATTTGAAAGGCTGGCATGTAGGAGGAAAACAATAATTCTGTGTGGTTCTAGGAAGAACAACTGAGACCCACAGGTACAAACTATAGGGAGGGAAGATTTCAGCTCAGTATAAAAAAACACAGTCCGGACCTGGACGGTTTGGCTTAGCGGTTAGAGCGTCGGCCTGCAGTCCAGAGAGACCCGGGTTCGGTTCCCACTAAGAGCACGTACCTTGGTTGCAGTTTGTCCCCAGCCCTGGTTGGGTCGTGCGGGTGACAACCACTCAATGTGTCCCTTTCATGTCGATGTTTCTCTCTCTCCCTCCCACTCTATCTGAACAAAATATCGAAAAATGTCCTCGGGTGAGGATAAAAAAAAAAAAATACAGTCTGCCCTCTTTTATTGCGGTTAATCAATTCCAGACTCTACCACGATAAATGACTGTCCGCCAAGTAGGATACTTTATTTACACACAGTCATCCCTCGCCACTTTGAAGCTTCAAAAACCGAGATAGAGCTCTGGCTGGTTTGGTTCAGCGGTTAGAGCATCGGCCTGCAGTCTAGAGAGATCCGGGCTCGGTTCCTGCTAAGGGCATATACCTCAGTTGCAGTTTGTCCCCGGCCCTGGTTGGGTTGTGCGGGTCCAGTCACTCAATATGTACCTTTCACGTTGATGCCCCCCCCCACTCTGTCTTAACAAAAAATGGGAAAATATCCTCGGGTGAGGATAAAAGAAAAGAAAAAAACCAAGATAGAGTGAAGCCGCGAAAGTTGAAGCGCAAAGTGGCAAGCGACAACTGTAATCTATGAGTTGGAGCTGCCCAAAACAAACTAGATTGCCTGGAAGTATTTCAGCACAGACTGAACATCCTGTTTTGAAAATGCTGTAAAAGGGGTATGAGCACTAAAAGGGTAACTGAATAATGGTCCCTAAGACCTTCTTAAAACCTTACGGTCTATGACTGAGGGTTCAATTCTGCATCACTTTGTTAAATACCATTGGACAGCTATTGATTGCTTTACTAGTACAACTAATACCTAAATAATTTAAAGTATTTGAAATTTACAATCTCCAAACAACAAATCTAGGAAACTTTTAGAAATGATTTTAACTTACCATTTCATTGAATGTTGGGTTCCTAGTTTTTCGTGAAATTTTGGTTTTACGTTTGGATGTTTTGTGGGGATCTGGAAGTAGGTAAGTTTTGACATATGGATTTGGGTCAGCCCCATCTTCAGTAACCTACAAAGAAAAGCATTCCTTTTACAGTAATGTTTCCTACCAAGATCTGGGTTTCCTCTACAATAACCATTGTTTGTAATTACTCACAAGGTCTTTGATGTGCATCACCATGATGAAAAGAGTCCCATTTCGGTAAGAGACAGATAATTTCACTGATCCTCCTATTTGGCCTGGAGTAGGACTGAAGGGACACACATCTGAAAATATAAATATGTTCATTTTTATTTTATCTTGCTTCAAGGCACAAAAAATTTTTTGCTTTAACTCCAGGACCATCACACGTGCAATAAAAAAAAGGTAAAGGACCTGGCAGACTACTGGATATATATTTCTTTAGTAATCACATTCTATTGGAAAAACTATGTTTATCTAGAAATAGACTAGCTTAGAAAGAATTCCTCCTCTCTTCTCACTGGCCCACAGCCAGCAACCCCACTGTCACTCTACCACATCCACTGATTAGTTACAGACTGGCAGGCCATAGGGAAGCCATAATCTATCATATAAAGAGGAAAAAAATAATCTTACCTGCAGACCTAGCTATTCCTTCAGCTTTCTCATCACGAAGTAAAGGGTGAAAAAAAGTACAAACAAGATCACACTAAGATAGAAGAGCAAAAAAGATCAATTAGTGTAAATATTATGTATTATGTAGCACAAAACATAGTATGTTATTTTTTCAGATAGGACAGTCACCTCTGCTACATCCATTGAAGCACTCATCAAACTCTGTAAATAACTGTTTAACTCAATTTTTCTTTTGGCTGCTACATCTTTTATGTGTGTTCTTCCTAGAACCATCCTATTAGGAAAGCTACAAAAGAAAAAAGAAACAATAAGTGAAATTTAAATTATTTCATCTGAAAGTATTTATAGAATCAAGTACAATATTTACTTAGAAATACACTTTTTCATATACTTAAATATAAACTGGAGTCTTAATCCACTATAAAGTAAATGTTGTGATTTCTCTTCAAAGTACTGGAGATGAAACAGTTCAAGTATCCATTATCCTTTTATGAACCCTGGTACAAAAAAGTACATGGTTTTGCTAATTTGCTATATTTTAAACTTATTTTCTTCTCAAGATTAACCATTCACAGATATTTTATGCAGATCTTATCCTTCAAAATAATCATTAACCAGCCACAGCTGTTGTAGATAACAGTAAAATCCACAAATGACAAAGGGCCCAAATCAAGGTAATCTTAACTCTGCTTATTTTGGTGGTAGTGGGAAAATGAGAATGCGCATGGAAATAAACTCTGATACCTATTTTACTGTCTCTTTACTTTTAAAATTTAGACTGAGAAGAATATGAGCAACTTGACATAGGAAATCTGCTGGTCACCAGCTACATTAAAACTGAGGGTCTATCTCTAAAGGGCATCAGATACAAAACTAAGCAGTAAGATTCTGATGAACAATCTCAATGCCTAAGCTTTTTATTATTCAGAGGAGCTCAGTATGATCATAATAGATTATTTCTGCAGTGATTTAAAATGTTTTTTAATTTTTTCAAGTTCCTGTTTTTTTAACCCTCACCCGAGGATATTTTTACATTTATCTTCAGGGGGGAGGGGGGCGTGGAGAGAGACATCAATGTGAGACAGACACATTGACTGGTTGCACCCGCATGACCCCAAATGGGGCGGGGACGAACCGTAACCAAGGTACATGCCCTTGGCTGGAATCAAACCTGGGACTCTTGATACTCTAACTGCTGAGCCAAACAAGCCAGGGCTAAAATCTTTTTTTTTGTAAAACCAAGATTCCAAAGTCTTATCTTGTATTGCTTACTATGGTAGAAACAACAAATTTAAAGCTTCAACTAAAATGAGAAAACTGTAAAATCACAAAATTTAAGATCTTGATCATTTAGTCATTAACTCATTCATCAACAACTTATAGTTCCTTATCTGAGTCTAGTACTGCACTAGGCCCTTGTGATACAAAGGAAAATAAGTCACCCATGGTCCATAGTATCTTACTAAGTATTAACACAAAACTTTCAACCTACACTTAATAATAAATTATTTTCTATAAAAAAAGGATTAATGTACATAAATGGGAACATACCCTGGTAACTTCCAAAGTGGAAAAATAATACTGAGTTTGTTGTGAAGTTCCTGAAATTCGTCAAATGTCCGGAACACAAATGATGGCTCAAGCTGTCCTTCCCTCAAAATTCGGACTACATAAACCTGAAGAAATCACACCCAAACACATTAGATTCATAATAAAACTTTTCCTGACAGAAAGAAAATTTACAGCTTGTTATATATAATCAAAGTGCTTTTAACTTATCGATATATATGTCACCAATAGAAAATAGCAAATATAAAACTTATATTTATAGTACATCTATCTATATTTTAAAAGTGATCTTAACCATTGAGCAATATAGAAATAAGAACTGGAAAGTGCAAGTCGTCCTATATCCAGGATTAAATCAAATAAATGTACTTCCCAAATTTATAAATGTAGTACATTCCCAATGAAAATATTAAGTTCATTTAAGAGAGTAAATAAGACAAAAGGCAAAATTTATGTTAGCTGGGGTATGAGGGAAAACTTATCTTACTAGCTGTTTAAACTATTATAAAGTCACAGTTCTTTAAAGAGCAAAATACTGGTGCAGAGTCAGATATATCTACAGAAGAAATAAATTCAGGAATAGGTATAAACTTAGTGTATTTAAAGGTGGCATAATAGCCCGGCTAGTGTGGCTCAACGGTTGAGCGTCGTTCCATGCACCAAGAGGTCACAGGTTTGATTCCTGGTCAGGGCACATGCCCAGGTTGTGGGTCCAATCCCCAGTGGAGGGCATGTAGGAGGTGGCCAATTGATGTTCTCTCACTGATATTTCTCTCTCTCCCTCCCTCTCTCTCTCAAATTAATAAAGACAAAAATAATAATAAAGGAGGCATAATAAATCATTGGGGGGAAAATGGACGACTCAATAAAATGGTGTTAGGATAAAATGATCAGTAAACCTATAAAAATTTACTAATAATAAAATAGGTGAAAATTAAAATAATAGTAAAGTCACTTTCTAAAATTTATCAGTTTGTCAAAAATGTAAAGATTGACAGTACTGCAAAGTATTATGCAACAAAAATATTATCAAAAGGGTGAAAAATGACAGCAAAAATTATGATAATGCTAGCCCTGGCTGGTTTGGCTCAGCGGTTGGAGCATCGGCCTGCGGTTCAGAGAGACCTGGGTTAGGTTCCCGCTAAGGGCACGTACCTCGGTTGCAGTTTGTCCCCGGCCCTGGTTGGTCGTGCAGGTGGCAGCCACTCGATGTGTCCCTTCACATCAATGTTTCTCTCTCTCTCTCTTCCTCTCTCTCCCTCCCGCTCTATCTGAACAAAAAATGGAAAAATGTCCTCGGGTGAGGATAAAAAAATATATATATATATGATAATGCTATACTATAGTGGGAGGAGCACACCGAAGACCCTATTTTTAAAAAACAAACTTTATATGTTTGTGTGTGTTTGTTGTAATACTTCATCATTCCTAAAGAGTAGAGTAAGAACTTAGACTTCTACTTTATATGCTTCTACATTGGTTGAATTTGTTACAATAAGCAAGCTTTACCTTTGAAATTAAGAACGAATTGAAGATAAGGAAGAAGAAAAAGCGCTACCCTTTTAGTCTCGTCTCTGAAAAGAAGAATATCATTTGTCCCTCATGGTTTTGGAGCAAATCTACCAAGAAATAAATACCAAAAAACAATTAGGGATGCTCCAAGTACATTTATTTATTTTTGGGCCATCCGTGATAGAAAGGACTATGAGAAGAACAAATGCTGGAAACTTCAGCCGAGTCAGTGAAGTAAGAAAGAAAGAACAATAATGCAGACATGAGTCTCTACAAATCAAACCAAACTTACGTAATGTTTATCTGGGTTGTATTTCTTATGGTAAGTGAAAACAGAGACTTCCTTGATTCGACCATCTTGTCTAAAGGAATATGTTTTGGGTGAAAATGAAAGGATGGGCTCATCATTGGAAGGAAGACCAGAAAAACGCAGTTGAGCAAGGTTGTGAATGAAGAAGTTAAACTTTGTGGCAATGCTTCCCAAACTTGATTCAATCAGCCTACAAAACAATCAGAAAATGTGTTAAGAGTAAATGTTCATGAGAACACATGACTAATTCTTTTAACATAATAAAAGATTAAAAAATACTTTCATTCCATTTAATATATTAAGCAGATTCTCACTCTGCTGAGTACTCCTTTCTTCTATAGGCCAAAAACCCATTAAAATACATCTCACCCCAACAAAACATACAACAGTCAAAATTTTAGTATAAGAGTCTATTCTATCCCATCCCACTGTCTCCAAGAAATGATGCTTTTATTTCTTGGGTCTTCTGGGGTCTAATACTAATTTAAAACTTTCAGCAAGAGAAGATGATTGATATAATGCCAAAAAGATGACTTCACTTTTTTATTCCCCTGTAATAAACGGGGGCGGTGACAACTAAACAGGTATAGGAGGAAGCATCCACAATAATTCAATTTTTTCTTTTGTTAATCCTCACCCAGGATCTTTTTCCATTGCTTTTAGAGAGAGTGGAAGGGAGAGAGAGACATGGACTGGTCGCCTCCCACATAACCCCAACCAGGGCCAGGGATCAAACCTGCAACCCAGGCACATGCCCGTGATCAAGAATCAAACCCGAGACCCTTTGGTCCGCAGGTCCAAGCTCTAACCACTGAGAACACCAGCCAAGGCAGTAATTCAAATTTTCAAAATCTCTTCTATCAAATGGTAGAAGAGTAGAATCTGGTATCAGAGTCCTTCAGATAATCACAATTTCCTTAGTTGAGAAAAGAAGTTTTGACAGGATGGGGAGTTTGGTAAAAATCAATTTGGAAGGCAGAAAACATTTTAGGCAAGCAAAGGAAACAAAACCTCCCAGAAACAGGATAAAGGAATCCAGAAAGAGAAAGGAGATTCAAACAGAGAAGTGAGAGAACCTCACCCAAAGATTTTTGCTTTGCTATGGACTAAATGTTTGTGTCTCCCAAAATGCATGTGTTAAAGCCCCAATGGGTAGGTTAGCAATTAAGGTTAAGGGTAGAGCCCTGATCCAAAAGGATTAGTATCCTTATAAGAAGAGACAAGAAAATTCATGCTCTGTTGCTCTATCCGCCTCTTTCATGAGAAAACAGAGAGAAGGCAAGTAGTCTGCTAGCTAGAGCCCTCACCAGGAAGCAAACTGGCTGATACCTTGATCCTGGACTTCCCAGCCTCTAGAATTATGAGAAAATAAATTTCTGTTGTTTAAGCCACCTCATCTATGGTATTTTGTTATGGCAGATCAAGCAGACTCATATATGCCTACTTTACAGCCTTACCCAGAGGAGCCAATGAATTTCTTTAAAAAAACAAAACAAAATCCAACAATACCTAAACTATCAGGATTAGTTTGGAAGGCTATACAAAAGTCAGCTTCCTTCAATTCAATTCAGCCCAGACTCTTGAGCCTAGGGAAGTCCAGTCCAATGTCTTCTACCTCTGCTCCACTGAGAGGAAGAAGGCAAAAGAAAAAGGAGAGAAAAGAACATGAGCTCATGTGCTCCCCTCGCTATGGTAGTATGTGGTTACACCACTAGTCACACTAGTCAGTGACCAACCTGGTCACCAGACATTTAGAACATATTTGCTTTTAAAGCAATAACGACAAGTTCAAATACAATTGGAGTAAATGTTTCAAGTACTACACCATAACAATTTACTATAGCAGTGTTGCAGTTTGCTGTTTTAAGCAATTAAGGTATCCATAAGCCCGGACGGTGTAGATCAGTGGTTGAGTGTCGACCCATGCACCAAGAAGTCACTGGATCGATTCCAGGTCAGGGAACATGCCCAGGTTGTGAGCCAAATCCCCAGTGGGGGTATGCAGGAGGTGGACAATCGATGTTCTTTCTCATTGATGTTCCTATCTCCCTCTCCCTTTCTAAAAAAAAAAAAAAAAAAAATCAATAAAGAAAAAAAAGATATCCATGAAAATTATTATGGTAGAATCTTTAAAAACAGATAAGAAAAACATACCTCGTATTTGGCACTGTAGAAAATATGCTTCACAGAAATAGTTCATAAAAAGGATTTTTTTTTTTTATTTTGGTTTTTTTCCTTTTATTGATTTGAGAGAGGAAGGAAGAGGGAGAGATAGAAACTTCAATGAGAGAGAACATCGATTGGCCAACTCCTGCATGCCCCACACTGGGGATTGGGCCCACAACCTGGGCATGTGTCCTGACTGGGAATTGAACTGGCAACCTCCTGGTATATGGGTCGACGCTCAACCACTGAGCCATACTGGCTGGACATAAATAGGATTTTTATCATTGAAATCATACTAAAAAAACGAGATCATGCTTTCAGAGAAAGAAACTAATTTTTTTAAATGTTGCAAATCCTTTACACTTATTCAGTAAACTTTTGACAACCTACTATTTGCTAATACTGTGAATCAATTTTTTTCCTATAAATCAGAATTTTGATATATAGCATTTGTTTATACTAAGGAAGACAAATCAAAGCTAAACTGTATGTGCTTTATCTAATATACGTAAGCATGCCTTACCTAGTAAAGAAAATTGTGGCTTCTGCATCTGTAGTTTGGGGTTGAAGCGCATCTCTAACATATTTCAAATCTTGAATATTTGTAAGTTCTGGTAACCCTGAGGGAATCATCTATAGAAAGGGAAAAAAGTTCGCGAGTTAAATTTTTTAAAAGGCTATTCCCCATTCTTCCCTAAAAGTTGTCCAGGTAATTAGAACTAAAGTAAACAAAAACAATCCTAGTTTTGAGGAGTTTATGTTCTAGAAATCTAAGTGATTCTCTTATAAATAAAAAAAAAAATTGAGGAAATTGAAGTCAATTGTTAGAAGTCACAAAGTCAGTTTATGGAATGTAAATTGTAAAATCCAGACATTTTTTATCTATTACTCTGGTTTTTTTTTATCCTCACTCAAGGACATTTTTTTCCATTTTTTGTTCAGAGTGGGAGGGGGAGAGAGAGAGAAACATCAAAGTGAAAGGGACACATTGAGTGGCTGCCACCTGCATGACCAACCAAGGCTGGGGACAAACTGCAACCGAGGTACACACCCTTAGCGGGAACCGAACCCAGGTCTCTCTGGACCACAGGCCAACGCTTAACCACCGAGCCAAACCAGCCAGTGTTGTTACTCTGTTTTTATATTAATTTGTCACAATAATCATAGCGAGGTTTTTTTGGTTTGTTTTTACTTAAAATACATCCAGAAAAGTACAGAAACCTTAAGTGTATAGCTTAATGATTGCTCACAATCTGAACATACCCAGATTAAGATGCAATACATCTACCAGCATTATTTTTTTTTTATATTTTCTAAAAATGGTGTCTGCCACATTTCAAATCGCAGCAATTTTTAAATATGTTGGTAATATTTGACATTTGAGACTATAGTAAGTTTTATTCCAAAATCACAATATACTTTTATTAGTTATTGAAATACAGAAGCATTAATGTAAAATTAATTAAATGCTTGTAAAGAAAAGTGTTACCAGTGAAAGGAGGTTAAGGAAGAGGTTTGTTTGCTTTCTTATCAAGTTGTAGGCCTGACAGCAGAGGTCCACAAATAACTGGAATCGAATGGTGGGCTTTTCACCCCCATTAATGACATATGCCATGTCAGAGGTCAGCACAAAAGGAGCCCGATCCCTATTTAAAAGGAAAGTACATATAAAGTATTATTTACAGAAGATGTTCAAATAGTGCTATTGCTATTACATGGTTACTGAACTAAAGTATATGAGCCATAGCAATTTCCAATCTGGAAACAGTATCAGGCAGTTTCGAATTTTCATAATTCTTAAAAATTCACATTTTCAGCAAAGTGATCATCTAATCTCATCAGTCAAATAGAATTTATATATGAAAATTTTCCCCAGGTGATATTTATAAATTTACACACTCAAATAAAGATTAAAAATCACTATAGTTACAAACATACAGAGAGAAAAACTTTATAGTCATTGACATTATACAAATGGGAACATTTCCAATTAGGTACCACTAGCTAGACAAAATAAAATACTCCAAATTCATTTCAGCAAAGGTTACACACACTTCATTCTTGTGGTAAAGTAATCTCTTAGGGCATTTTTCATTCCCCATTTATGTTCAAAAGGGCTACAAGGCAAAGAACAGCAAAAAAAAGCAGGGGGGAGGCTTGAGACATTAATTTTTGAAATTGGAAGTGCCTCTCTTCTTCAGCAACAACAATAACAGTATTAGTACCTTTTGAAGCTACCAAACATCTGTGCATGGCCCAAAAACTTCCCAAAGTCAATGTGAAACATGTGTCCTGTGCTTCGAAGCATTATATTGTCATTGTGTCGATCACAGATGCCTAAAACATAGGTGGCTACACAGCATCCAGCACAAGAATAGATAAAATTCTCAGAAGCCTACAATAAAGATTTAAATAATTTTAGGAAAAAATATTTTTAAAATCTATAATAAAGATATAAAATTATTTTAGAAAAATGTTATTTTAGGCAGTTACAAAGATTAATGTAATTCACCCATCTTTGAAATCACTATTGTAATCCACTTTCTAAACAGACCCTAAATTGGATTATGGTAAAAACAAAAACAAAAGCCAGCCTTTCGACAATTCAAAAACAAAAACACCCTTCTAACAGTGGTGATTGCCCCCTCTCTCTAGCTTTGTCCTTTAATATGGACAGAGATGCTACCAGGCCCTATGTAGGGTATGCACTGCCGTTGGGTATCATGTTTGTGAAACCCTGCTCCTCACAGGCTCTGCTGCTTACCACAAGTGGTAACACTGAGACAAAGATTAATCTGAAAACAATGAGTATTTTTCTGTTTTGGTTTTTTTTTTTTTTTTTGGCTTGTAGAGAAGGCATGTGTAAAGAAAGTCAGTTTATATCTTTAAACGTCCAATAATGGCCCAGGCTGGTGTGGTGCAGTGGTTGAGCGTCAACAGGTTGCCGGTTCGATTCCTGGTCAGGGCACATGCCCAGGTTGTGGGCCTGATCCCCAGTGGGGGCATGCAGAAGGCAGCCAATCTATGTTCTCTTTCACTGATGTTTCTATCTCTCTCTGCCTCTCCCTTCCTCTCTCTAAAAATCAATAAAGAAAAAATAAATAAAATAAACATCCAATAATGTAATGAATGTATTTTGTTGCTCATTTGGTGACTCATTATATGTCAGCTGTTAAATTTCTCAAAGCTGGACACTTTAGCTGTTCTTGGATTATATTATACAGACAGATACAGCAAGATCCATACAATGATTATTTTATCATTTAGTGTATTCTCAAGATACTACATTTCTGAATAAAGCTGTCATATGGTTCTATATGTCCATGTGGTTAATTTTATTCCAAATCCCCCAGAAATCATTACCAATGGTGACGATGATAGCAAATGTTCACATAGCATTTATCACAAACCAGGCACTGCACTTTCTCTCTCTGTCCCCCCCACCACAGACACACATTCACAGTACATGTGTGTACATGTATGCATATATGTATGTATGTATACATTAACTTATTTTAAATCTCACAACAAACCAATGACATAGGTACTATTATTGCCATTTTACATATGAAAGTAAAACACAGAGAGGTTATTTGTCCAAGATCACATAATTGTTAAGTGGCAGAGCCAAGATTCAAACCTAGACAATGAAACTCCACTATATTATATTCCCCAAATAAAAGAGACAAATGCATAAAAGGCACTCAGTGTATGTTACCTGACCATTATATTGTGTCAAACAACTTACCCGGAATCACTAAAAAGCCAGCACTACTATAAACAAGTATTGGCTTCTGCTGCACTGCTTTCCCCAAACCATAAAGTAAGAAAAGGAAGATTTTGAAAGACCAGCAAAATCCTTTACTTTCTTAGGTAAATAGATAGCATCTGTACATCTCTATCTGCAAATATGATGCATTAACGATTTGACATAAACTAGGCAGACAAATGACATGAAAACTGGGATCTTCTTACATCAATCACCATTGAAAGTATTCTTGAGTCTTCCTTAGGCCAATTTACGATCATTACAGGCCTTATGTCCTAAGAGACTTCTCTTTCCTCTTAAGTAATACAAAAGTATACTAAAACAAAAAATTGATGCCTCCAATAATAATAGCTATCAGTTACAGAACTGTCTATGTAACACTTTATATATATTAATTCATTTAATTCCCATAATAACCTATAGTACTATTTTTATAACCATAATATATACTATAATACCATAAAAATACTACAACATTTTACAGCAGATGTCACTAAGGCACAAAGAGGTTAAACAATTTTTCCAATGCTGTATATAGCTAGTGAGTGACTTGGGACCTGAATTCAAGCCCAAAAGTCTGGCCCATAATCTTGCTCTTAATAACCACACAATGTAGCCACTCATTTCCATAAGTTTTCCCAAGACCTTTGTAAAACAGAACATTTTGAATTATAAAAATAACTGTTTTGCTGGCCTCTAAATACATTTGAAAAGCTTTTTTGGTAATTTAGCATTGGTTTCACTCAGATTCCTACCATTAAATGCATTCTGTTTTTATATTATTTTTATATTATTTTCTTTACTTGGAGAAAGATACTAATTTCACAACTTAGACTAAATGACTGACACCAGAGCTAGAAAACAAAAACACTCAAAACCTATGTAATACATTTTTAACAAAGTTATTTAGAATAAGGAGACATGCTAATCACCTTTTCATATTCCTCTTCAGAGGGATTATATTTCCTCAGCCACTCTGCAAGTGGTTTATCTTTAAAGGATCCGGTCACACCATATTCAACTTGGATTTTCCTGAGGGTATCTGAAGCAGGAACTAACTCCACCATGCCTTTAACAACAAAACATTAAGCTATGTGAAAATATCTTCCAAAAGCAAGCCTTTAAAAAATGTATAGCTGTTAGCCCTGGCCGGTGTGGCTCCGTGGGTTGGGCATTATCCCATGTACCTAAAGGTTGCCAGTTCGATTCCTGGTCAGGGCATATGCCTGGGTTGCAGGTTCAATCCCCAGTAGGGGCGTGTAGGAGGCAGCTGATCAATGTTTCTCTCTCACATTGATGTTTCTCTCCCTTCCTTTCCCCTCACTCTAAAAATCAATTTAAAAAAAAAAATCAATTTTAAAAAATTGATAGCTTTCGATCTTTAACATAAGATACCAGCTAGCAATTATTGTTTTGTTTGGTTTTTTAAAACAACTCTAGAAGCCCATGCTAGAAAAAGTGAGCAATTCATATTATTTTTTATTTTTGGAAGACCCATAATGTAAAAGTTAATTTTAACTATGTAAGACTCTATAATCTATATACCCATGTGCTACTTGCCTCCTGCCCCTCGAAGAATAACAATTTTAATTACAAACTAGATAATATGAACCTCCTTAATAAAATTACTTATAAGATACATGCCGTCACACAATACTTTCATAAAATACTTTCTCTAATCACCTATTTGGGCAACATGAGAGTGTTTCAGAATACATTAAGCCCTTTCAAAGGGAAGAACAGACTAAGATTGTCCTTGTGACATGCTTAAGTCTCAAGTGGTTTGTCTTCCTAACTGAAATGTACATGTCTGGCTGGGTAAATAATTTTGTTCTATTTATAATTCCTTTAAAATAAGTATCACACAAATACATTATGGGACATCTACACAATGAAATAAAATGAGGTAGATCTCTAGGTGCTTATGCAGAAAGACCTCAAAAATATGTTTTTAAAGACAAAATTCAGATGGAGAGCTATGTTTTGTGTTTAATATCAATCAATTAATTAAAGAGTATTATGTATGTTGAAATATACACACAAAATTTATTACATGCTATACAGATATTTTACAAAGTGTACATATTATTTATATAATTTAAAAATTAGTTTTATATATTTTAAAAATCAAGAAAATGCACTGACATCAAAATATGGATACAGAGGCCTGCTCTGGACAAAGAACTAGAAGAAACCAAGCAGGCCAAGGCCTCTAGGCTACCCCAAAAGAAAGTATGCAGGGCTAGATTATAATTCTAGTTAAGTCTAGTCACATAGGGCAGAATTAATTCATTTGGATCTTTTATGTTATTTTGGTTGCATCAGCTGGTTTATAATTCATAATGACATCCTTTTTTTCCATTACTACCTGCATCCTGATTCTATGACTACATTTAATCTAATTATTAATATGCATACAAATTTCTAATTTCATCACCAAATATACATATGTGCAAATTACTATGTACAAAATGCTGGACCAAAGTTGATAAAAAATACAAAGTACTACTGTCTGTGTGATAAGACACAGTCCCTAACTGAGGGAACTTAAAATCAATCCAGTAAGGAAAATATAAAACATGAAGTAAATGTCTGGTGAGTATTAAAGACAATTGCTGAGTCTGGAGAAAGGAGGAATTAGTGTAGACTGAGGTACTTGTTAAAAACTTCAGAGAGGCCCTGGCCGGTTTGGCTCAGCGGTTGGAGCGTCGGCCTGCGGTACAGAGAGACCCGGGTTCGGTTCCCGCTAAGGGCACGTACCTCAGTTGCAGTTTGTCCCCGGCCCTGGTTGGTCGTGCGGGTGGCAGCCACTCGATGTGTCCCTTCACGTCGATGTTTCTCTCTCTCTCTCTTCCTCTCTCTCCCTCCCGCTCTATCTGAACAAAAAATGGAAAAATGTCCTCGGGTGAGGATAAAACAAACAAACAAACAAACAAACAAACTTCAGAGAGGATGTGGATATGATTTATTTGTTTGAAAACTAAGGATACAGCTAGATAACACAAGTAAAAGGCTTAGCACAGCCCTGGCCAGTGTGGATCAGTGGCTGAGTGTAGTCCTATGCACCAAAAAGTCAGTTCAATTCCTGGTCAGGGCACATGCCCAGCTTGTGGGCTCAATCCCCAGTAGAGGGTGTGCAGGAGGCAGCTGACGGATGTTTCTTTCTCAGATTAATGTTTCTCTCTTTCTCTTCCTCTATCTCTAAAATCAATACAAACACACACACACATATGTATATGTATTAGCACAGGGCAGGACACAGAGTAAGCACTCAATCATTAGTTAGAAACGACATAAAAAACAAGAGCAATCTGATTATCACCAAAGTTACATGGAATTCCATAAAAAGAAAGAGACGTTCAACTATATGCAATAAAAGTGTGACACTGAAACTAATCTAACGAGGTGGTAGACTATTGTTGAGGAAACTTACTTGATAAAACTTCCACCTTACAATACATATGAAAAACAATCAGCAAGAATTCTTAAATTGACTGGACTTTTTGACCAGATAAAATTTGTACATCCTAACCTGGAGGTAAAAAGTTACAAGGCTCTCATGTTGCCCTGATGGATAAAATGGCAAAATGTGGAGTGGCTGATAGCAAATTGAAATAGATAAGTAACCAAATAAAATACAATACCCAGAGATTTAGCAATCACTTGAAGGGAGATCTCTAGTGACTTTGCCACAAGGTTTGGTGCTTGGCCCTTTCTTAGTGAACATGTTTTTCAATGACTTACCAGAAGCTAAAGAATATACATTTTTCAAATCCATTCATGACACAAGCTAAGAGATTCAATGACAAATAACAAAACTCAAATTAAAAAAAAAAAAAACAAAAAACCAACAGGCTGAAAATAGATCGAATATAAGAAGAAAGTTAATAGTGAAGGTCCTACACTTGGGTCTAAGAATCAAAATGTACAAGTACAGAATGGCTAAGATATGGTTTAACAGGAGCTAGCATGATGGTTTTATTAGTTAACAAGCTCCTTATGTGTAACACTTTGCCCACCCTTTTGCATTCTACAAAATCCAGGCGCCATTCTTAGAGACTATAAATCAACCACTTGAGCCCCTATGGAGAAAACAATGAGGTGATAAAATAAGTTAAAGTCACATATGACAAAATCACTGAAGAATTTGAAACTCAGGATCACAATAGGTTATCATGAAGGATTCAACATTATATAATAGCCTATGAACAGAACTGGAACAGATGGTTAGAGGGAACCAGGAGTCAGTTTCCATTCATCTGAATACAAGAAAGAACTTTACAGCCATGAGAGCTATCCAGGACATAATGGACTAATTCAAAATACAGTGAATTCCTTTCACTATAGATATTTAAGCATAAACTGAATGCCAAATATTAGAAGGGTTAGATAAGATAATCTTTCAGGTGACTTCCTAGTGTCTATGATTAGAATCTGTAAAGCTTTTCTCATTTCCAGGAAATATCAGTGATCTTTCTCTCCTTTAAAACCCATAGCTTTACCTTTGTAATTATTCTTAGAACTTTTAGCTTACTAAAGCATTTTCTAATTACTTGCATATGCCTTCAGTCGCTTTCCTCTAAATATAAGCACTATTAGCATTCTATACATGATAGCTGCACAACAAACATTTGTTGAATAAGAATAATAATAATGGCTGCAATTTACTGAGCACCTAATATGTATCAGATATTAGGGTAGTTTACATTCATTATCTCATTTAAGTATCATTATGAGTGTAGTACTATTATTTTTCACACTTAATATATGTGGAAAGAAATAAAGTATTCAATAAATAATAAAATGAAGTTTATTCTTAGTAGAAAAAAACTTTGTAACTATTATTTCATTTTGCAGTAATAAAATCAAAGTTGGTTTGTCTTAGAGATGGCCTTAATTATAAGTCAAAAGCTAAAGACCATAAAGTCCTTGTTGGCTCAAATAATAAACACCTCTGATTACTGCAAAGCATTTATTAGGGCTACTTACTGAGTTGTTTAATCATGACCAAATGAATCAATAAAGCAAGACTAAATTAAAATAAGAAATAACTGAGATCATAGTACACCAGCATCAGAATCCTTAGGGCAGGTACACTGATAAGTTCATGGGAAAAAAAAAGAAAGAAACAACCAAAAACCCATTAAGACACAGCTTACAAGTTTACCTCGATCTCTGCCAGTTGAAAGACATTTGAAAATCACCATCCTCAAATCTAGTCCTTCTTTAAGCCAGATTTTGTCCATAATCTTTATCATCTGTAAAGCTAACATATCCTGCCGAAGATCTTCACCAACCTTAAAGTCAAGGAAACAAGATGAAACTTTTACCTTTCCAAAAGACTTACGTACTATAAAAGAGGGAGGGGAGAATAGTGAAGAGTAAAGAATGAGATGAACTGCCTTTTAATTTTTCTGCAGCATTCTAGAGACAGTTACTTAACCTTTTTATGTCTGTTTCCTGAACTGTATACTTTAAAAGGTTAGGTTTTATGGTTTGTGAATTATATTTAATGTTTTAAAAGGGTAATATGAGGGATCTTTGTGATGATTGAAATATTCCATATTTTGATTAAAAAAAAAAAAAAAGCCCTGGCCGGTTTGGCTCAGCGGTTAGAGCATCGGCCTGCGGTCCGGAGAGACCCGGGTTCGGTTCCCGCTAAGGGCATGTACCTCGGTTGCAGTTTGTCCCCGGCCCTGGTTGGTCGTGCGGGTGGCAGCCACTTGATGTGTCCCTTTCACGTCGATGTTTCTCTCTCTCTCTCTCTCCCTCCCACTCTATCTGTGCAAAAATGGAAAAAAATGTCCTCGGGTGAGGATAAAAAAAAAAAAAAAGAAATATTCCATATTTTGAACATCAATGCCAATATCCTGATTGTGTTATTGTACAACAGCTTTTGCAAGATGTCATGATTGAAGGAAATTGGGTAAAGGGTACACAGGATCTCTGTATAATTTCTTATAACAAACTATGAATCTACAATTATTTCAAAATAAAGTTTGTAAATAAAAAAGCTAACCCTCCCAAAATTAGTTAATTCTAAGTGGAATCACATCAAGTTTTCATTTTCTTTTTTAAACTGGATAAAATAACTTAAAAATACAAAATGATTGATATTTTTGAGATTGATGTATAAAATTTCTGTATTCTGAGACAGTACCATTTTTAAAAAAGGCATATACATTAATAAAATAAGAGAGTCCAAACTCCAGATCTGAATATTTAGAAAGTGTGTGTGTGTGTGTGTGTGTGTGTGTGTGTGTGTATATATATATATATATATATATATATAAACTACATATATTTGGAGATTCAAGAGAAGCTATTTTTATGAATCTGCACTAATCAAATTCATTGAATTAACTAAAACTCTCCATTCAAAATATACTAATTATGATCACAATACACAGAAATTTGACTGATAATAGAGTACTCAGCAGAGTACTACTTCCCTGCTGCTTCCACAGGTAAGTTTCCAAAAAACCAAAGCCACTGCTCACGGTTTTGCAATTTCATACTGCACAACTCTAGGGGGTACCATTCACATAGTCTTTGTGAAAGGCACTGCATGGAGTTATGATGTGCTCAACTAGCATGGCAGAAGCTCTAGTTCAGAGTTGCATTTATTTCCAAATCTTTTTGAGAACAGTTTATGTCAGTGATAACCTTTCATATAATTATTCAATTTAATTACATATTAAATAAATAAAATTACTTTTGCAATCTTGGAAAAGGAACTTGATAAAAAGAATTTAAAAAATAAAGTAGCCTTATTTTGCTCACCTTAAACATGACATTAATTTCTTCCCCCATTGGATCAGCATTCACCATTGTGACCTTTAGGGGCACAGCATTAGAACTGAAGAAGGAACATGACTACAAATACAACACATTAAGTATTAGAAAGATAACACTGGAATAAAAATGGGTTTAAGATTTTTTTTTTGTCCTAGGCATTTCTCCTTTCACCTGTTTCTCTGAATTATGGCAAATGGAATAACACAGGAGAGCTGCTTTTTAAATAAACTGAAAGATAAGAGGTATATCAAAATACTTTTTGAAACTTAAACATAGCATATAGGAGTAAAATATTATCTACTACCCTTTGGGCAGAGAAGCAAAACTTAGAAACTTGAAAGAGCCCTGGCCATGGTCTTAGTTGGTTGGAGCCTGGTCCTGTACAAAGGGATCAATTCCAGGTCAGGGCACATACCAAGGTTTCAGGTTTCATCCCCAGTTAGGGTGAGGCAACTGACTGATGTCTCTCTCTCACACTGACATTTCTCTCTCTCTCTTTCTGCCTTCCTCTCTCTAAACACATCCTCGGGTGAGAATTAAAATTAATAATGAGAAAAAAGCTATTCAAGTTTGAGCTTTAAAAGTATTATAATTCCTCCACAGAACACAAAATTGCATATACGCATCTTTCCTCTAAATCAGTGTAATCTGGAATGAGATCTTTACTTTTCTTATTTATGGTACTATTATAATTAATCATTAACCATGGAATCAACTACTGACACTAAATTTAACAATTTCATTAGCAAAAATGATATCTTATTTTAAAATAAAACTGGTTGAAGAAATAATTTAAGACAGTGAGACCAACTTAAAGGTAAACAACAAAACCAAACCAAAGGGGAAAATGTAATTATTCTATCCCCAAATGACATAATTATACAAGTCAGGTACCCATGGTTAAATTTCAATAAAGAGTAGCCATGTCAACTTAAAAAAAAAAATTCAAATCTGAAACTCCATTACGGATAGCTGTATCCTGGCCTTTCAAAACCACACTAATGGATAAATTAATTGTTTGCTTTTGTTGAATGCATGGTAGAGAAAATCCACTATTTGTATTACTATTAGTCCAGCTGAAAATACAATTACTTAATTTTGATGATTACTCAACTACTGTGTTTTAAATATATTTTTCTTGATTTTATTTATTTGTTGTTAATCCTCACCTGAGGATAAATTTCCACTGATTTTTAAAGAGCGTGGAAGGGAGGAAGGGGGCAGGGAGAGAGGAAGACTGAGAGGGAGAGGGGGATGGGAGAGAGAGAGAAAGAGATATTGATTTTAGAAAAACACATTGATCAGTTACCTCTTTGCATGCCCCCAAGTGGGGCTGGGTATTAACCTGCAACCCCACAACCCAGGTACATGCCCTTGACTGGGAATGGAAACCGTGACCCTTTGGTACGTGGGCCAATGCTCTAACCATTGAGCAACACACCAGCCAGGGCTATTTCTGTTGATTTTAGAGAGAGAAGAATGGGGGTGGTGGGGAGGGAAAGAGAGAGGTGAGAGAGAAACATCCATCGGGGTGCCACCCACATGCACCCTTACTGAAAACCAAACCCAAAACCTGGGCATGTGCCCTGACCTGGAACCTAACCAGTGCATGGGACGACACTCAACTAACTGAGCCACACCAGCCAGGGCGCCACTGCTTGTTGATGGCTCTAAAAGTGCTATAAACCCAGGAAAAGTTTATCTGGCTATTCACAAAGAAGGGAAAAAAATGCCTATCTGTGTGTGACTGAGTAGTTTTACCATTGCAATTACAACATATGCCTCTCATGTAGCTATTATACCACAGTAAAAATAATTTAATTTAAGGCAGTAAATAATTTTACACTGCTTTTTCTTTCAGGAATAGTGATTAGGAACACTGTACTGAGATAAATATAGACCTTACACCACAGACATCCACAAATACTTATAACCAATCTATACAGGTTTTATCCTCACTTGCTTTAAACACGACTGCCCATTTCTCTTCTTTCTACACATTATTTTGAAATGTAATATGAACTTATAAGTATTTTGTCACCTTAATATTTAATTCTTTTGCCACAAGACTTGGATTGAGAGGGAGACGACATTTATTTCTTAGAAAAAAGGACTGTACTCGTTCCATACTCCTTTGGAGGACAACCTAGGAAAAGAGATCGATACTGTGAGTACACAATGAAAATGAAGATCTGTTTTCAAGAAAAAATTATGATGCAGATCCAATTTTTAAAATGCCCAATTGCCAAATGTTGCTAAAGAGAATTAATTTTTACTATAAAAATAAAATTAGAAAGGTCAAAGGCTAGAAACATAGGAGAGAAAGTACGTATGTTCATATTTAACACATTAGTTAAAACTCACTAACAACCAAATGAACAGAAATTAAATGAAAACGAGATATAATTTTTCATAAGATGAAAAACTGAAGATAAGATCCAGTGCTGGCAACAGGGTGGGAAACAGATTCTTTCATAATCTATTGGTGGGAAAGGAGGTATATAGCAGCATATATAGATATATATATACACACACACATACATACATACATATAAATTTTAATTTTGGGGGGCACAGCAATCTAATAGAAACTATTATAACTAAAAATGTACATATCTCTTAACTATTTCACTTGTAGAAATATTCTATAAAGAAATACTACCAAAGGGGCAAAAACTTATAAAGTTCATTGCAGGACCGTTCAAGAAAAATATGTAAACAATATACATAGAGGTAGTTAATGGTTCATAATTTATGTTACAATTGGCTTATAATATTATGTACCCACTAAGAAACATGAAGTGTAGTAACTATATATGTACTGACATAAATTCTCCAAGATGAAATAATAAGAACAATTTTCAAAAAGGTGTAATTGCTAAAAAAATTAAAGATCTAAAAAAATGGAAAGACATCCCATGTTCATAAACTGAAAAACTTATTAAGATTGCAGTATTTTCCAAATCAATTTACAGATTCAACGCAATCCTTATCAAAATTCCAACTACCTTTTTGTAGAAATAGAGAAGCTGATCCTAAAATTCACAGAGAATTGCTATGCACTTCCAAATAGCTAAAACAATTTTGAAAAAAAACAAACCCAACAAAGTTGGAGAATTCATACTTCCTGATTTCAAAACTTATGATAAAGCTATAGTAATAAAAACATTATGGTATAAGGATAAACATATAGGGTGTCCCCAGAAAATGTATACACAGCTTTGAATAATTATGAAGCCAGTGTTTATTAAAATATATTTCATTTTCAAAATGTAATAGAATCTACAGACACCTTGTATAGTTCAATGGACCAGAAAACTGAGAGTCCAGAAATAAACCATTTTATCTATGGTCAAATGATTTTCAACAAGTGTGCTGAGCTCATTCAATGGAAAAGAATAGTCTTTTTAACAATAGTGCTGGGACAACTGGATAAACACATATAAGAGAATGAAGCTGGACCCTTATCTCATGCCTTATAAGGAGTGAGTGATTAGAGAGTACATGAAAATGTTTTGGAATTAGATTGTGGTGATTGTATAACACTGTGAATGTGCTAAAAGCCAATGGATTGTACACTTTAAGATGGTTAAATAGTGACCTGGCCAGTTTTGCTCAGTGGTTAGAGCATCAACGGAGGGAGTCCCAGGTTTGATTCCGGCCAAGGGCACTTACCTCGGTTGCAGTTTGTCCCTGGCCCTGGTTGAGGTCATGTGGTGGCAACCAACTGATGTATCTCTCTCACACTGAGGTTTCTCTCTCTCCCCCCCCCCCCCCGTCTGAAAATAAACGTAAAATAAATAAAATGGTTAAATAGTAAATTTTATGTTGTGCAAAATTCACCTCAACAACATATACATGTGTTTCTATAAAAATATATTTGAGCCCTGGCCAATTTGGCTCAGCGGTTAGAGCGTCACCCCGCAAACCAGAGAGGCCCAGGTTTGGTTCCCGCTAAGGGCACATACCTCGGTTGTAGTTTGCCCCCAGCCACAGTTGGGGTTGTGTGGGTGGCAGCCACTCGATGTCTCTCTCTCACATCGATGTTTCTTTCTCTCTCTCCCTCCCTCTCTCCCTCCCACTCTGTCTGAGGATAAATGCAAAAAATGTCCTCAGGTGAGGATAAAAAAAGAAAATTTTTGATTCCTAAAATTTTTGATTATATATACTTTAATTAAGTGTATATATAAGTAAAGTCACCAAGAATAACCAAGAAGGAAACAACAAAATGAACAATAGACACCTACAGATAGAAAATAAATCTGAAAAGGTCTTAACTTTTTAATTCTATAAAGTTTTTCATTATTTGGATTTTTTAAACTTTGGCATCTAGTCAGTTTTAGTATTTTTACAGTTAAAAAGCAAAACAATAAAAGAGAAACTCGAGAGCAATTTTAATCAGAAAGGAATTAATAGGCACGGGAATTAAAAAGCACTAATTTTCTGAGGTAGGTTGTGAATCTTTTCCTAAAGATTTTAATAACCTTTAAACTCATCTGCTCCAAATAGCATAGGTGTAGAGGTCTAGTAAATGTTTAATGACACAGAATAACAACCTCACTTGTCAGCATTATAAAGAGCCTTTAATATCAAAATATTGATGTTCCTCTTTTGAGTACATACCTGTCTGGCTGATCCACTAGCCTGCTTTACTTTTTCTGCTACTCCTCCTAAAAGCTGTACAAGTTTTGTCTGCTTCAAGAGTTCTTCTCTGAGTCCTTTTCCTCCTACTGAGAGGAGAGCACCCAGAACATGTTCATATCGGGCACCAAACTGTGCATCATGCAGGGCATCCTTGAGAAGCCTAACAGCAAAATATTTGTCAGCCACTTCTGAAAAGTGAATGAACATCTCTCAAAAGCCAATTTAACAAGTTCAATTTTAGGTATCTAGAAACTTATTTTAAGCCATATAAGCAAGTAAAAATTCATTAATTATCATAGAGCTCTAACATGCCAAATATCTTTACAATAGATAGTTTGGGGGGTTTTTTTGTTTGTTTTTTGAAAATTTCTAAATATACAAAAATTTAACTTTCATATCATAATGCCTTTATAAAACATCTGGTATCCACAGTAAGTGGTCTGGGCATACCATTTAAACTTTCAGAGTATATCAACTGTATAAATGCCAGGAATGGAAATACAGAACTGAAGAAAATTTAAATCTTACCAATATAAACTGTGTGCTATCTGTATATTTTCCAATGCCCTGGACAGAAGGAAGCGCACTAATGAACTGTTCAAATAAATTTCATATTTCAAAGCCTACACATAAAGGAAAATAAGAATTACTAATGGTCAAACCCATACTACACTGTTAGGATAAAATTATCAAAAAAGAACTTATATAAAGCCCATTCTTATTGATGAAAGATGACATTAATAAAAATGAAACAGATAGATTAACAGGATAAATTAATAAAATCAAGCAGAAAAGTGTGGACCTGAGAATAACTTTCATTAGCTATGTTTAAATGGCCAGTAAAGAGCCCGACTGGTGTGGCTCAGTGGTTGAGTGTTAACCCAAGCACCAAGGGGTTGCCAGTTCAATTCCTGGTCAGGGCACATGCCCAGGTTGTGGACCAAATCCCCAGTGGGGGGCATGCAGAAGGCAGCCAATCAATGTTCTCTTCTCTCATCAATCTATCTCTTCCTCTCTCTCTCCAATGAAGAAAAACTTTTTAAAAAGTCCAGTAAAAAGAAATAAAAGAAAGGCTCAAGTCTGGTTTGTTCTGAGAATCTAAAAGGTCAAATCTAAAATTAAAAATTCAAGGTACATATATGTAGTATTCAAGTGTGGCAGCTGATAGTAGTAGAAACAAAAGTCACACTAAATCCAAACGCAATGCACCTCAACATTCCCACAAGTACTTTTTATCAAAACAGAAGGGAATCTCTTAAGCAAGTTCCCTACTCATAAAAACTAGAGGGGGAGTAAGGACAGTAGGTAACCAAGTAAAAAACTCACCTGTACAAACTGTGGAAGAAGATCGGTCAGCTCATCATCACTAATAGCCTCGATCCAAGTCACAGCTTGGGACCTCACTTCCTGATCAGCAAATCTAGAAGAGTATCACAAAAATCAAGATTTGACGGTGTAATGGAGCTACATTTCCTGAAAACACAATCTCAACTTATTCCCGACAATGAATGCTCAAACAGTTCTTTATTCAAAAGCAGTGTGTTTCTTTTTTTTGTTGGTAGGAAGAAAATCTTACTGTGCTATACAAATTCTATTAGGGGGCTGGTTTAGAAACTTTAAGCTCATGAAAATTAATTTTGGCCTACATCATAAAGATATAACAAATTATTCAAAATTTACAACCTAATTCTCTTTAGATTAGTTTTAAAAATGACATGCCCTTTTAATAACTTTAATGAAAAGGTATGTAAGTAGAAATAAACTTACACATTTATATTGTCTTGAACTGCTTTCATGTTAAAACAAAAGGAAGTACTCCTACAACATAATACCTTACTGAAAAAAATTAACAATGACAAGACAGAGCAAATAAATTCAGTTATAGTTGACTTACTTTGAATCAAGAAGCTCCAATGCAGTAAGTGGGTGTAATGGAGGCCACTGCTGAAGCAATGAGTAAATTTTGGCAAGATTAACCCATTTCCAGTTTGGGGCACTTGCTAGTATTTTAGGAAGACAATTTGGGTGTTTGAGGCAATAATAACGTTTCTCCCACAAAAAGGCTTTGTCTTCTTTAGAAAGTCTGCATACATAACAGAACTAAATTACTTCTCAATGCTATCATAATAACAGTTATAGTTTCAATGATTAAAAATACAAAGAAGAAATTTTAGGACAGCTGTTGCTTAGTAGAATCATTAATACTAATTTGGAATGGAAAAGCACAATGAACAGCAAACAGCACTAATTTACTCTAATTTGGGGAATAGAAAATCATTTGCATTGATAAAAGAGTCTTAGTTATGAAAATGAAGGATAATTCAGTACAAAACAAAATTTATTGAGCTCTAACCAGATGTCAGGCACTAGAAAATCAGAGTTGAATAAGCAAAATCCACCCAATAAGCAGGAATTTAACCCATTCTATATGAGTAAAAGCAAATGTCATATAATACACAAATGCTGTAACAAAATGTTAGAAGATGATGTTAAAACTAAATTGAGGAATATTTAAAATGAAAAGGACTTGTTTTGGAGATTCTAATTTAATCTTAATGACAAATGTTTGTGTGAATGAAAGATTTCACTATTCCCATTCATCTTCTTTTGCATATATAATACACACACTGAAATGTATTCGTCTTATGTGGAATACTGAAAAAAATTCACATATTGAAAAAAAGTCCACAATGAGTCTACCTTCTTCTAATTCTCCTACCAGTTGTAATTGTCTACACTTACATATTCTTTCAGAGTACATTTGTATAGAAGCATATACATACATGTATGCAGATCTTTTTTCTTTAATGGTAACACACCATATACACTATTCTGCTCCTTACTCTCTTCATTTAACATATCTGATATATTACTACATAACTATAACTTCATTTTTAATAGTTACATGGTACTCAGTTCAATAAATATACCATAATTAACCCACATTGATGGACATTCCCTATAAGTTTTACAATAATTCAAATACATACTGCAATTTGCTTGTCTCTGTAAGCAAATACAAAAGGGTTTCTTTCCTCTAAGATATATAACTAACTGTTAGTGGACTTGTTAGGTCACAGACTATGCACACTGTGACCTCTTTCGATTTTGCCAAATTGCTCTCCAAAAGCTTTTTAGAATTCTGCCAACAGTATAATCTCCATTTCTCTGCATCCTTCTTTCCTCATCAACACTTTCTATCATGGGACATTTTAATTTTTAACAATCTGATGTGTGTGAAATGGTATCTTATGTTAATTTATATTTCCTTGATTACTGAGAGGCTACCATCTTTTCAGATGTTTAAAAGACATTGTAATTCTTTTCTAAAGAATTATCTATAGGGGGCCACAAACAGCAGAACACCAACACCCACAGGGAGAACCTGACAGGCTCCAAAGCCCATAGTGATAGCCAAAATGGTGAAACACAGAAACAGAAGCCAAATGAAAGAGCAAGACACCTCCACCGAAGATGAGATCAATGCAGAGCAATTAGGCATGTTAACAGAGCTAGAATTCAGAGCCATGATCTTGAGGAAGCTGAACAGCATGAGTAAGGACATAGAGACACTGAAAATAAGCCAATTGGAAATTAAAAACCAACAAGAAGAGATAAAAAATGACATATCCGAAATGAAAAACACATTGGAAGGTTTAAAAAGCAGAGTAGGGGAAGCTGAGGACCGGATCAGTGAATTAGAAGACAGGGTAGAAAAAATCAACCAATCAGAAAAACAAAAGGAAAAAACTATTAAAAAACAGGAAGACAGCTTAAGAGAACTATGGGACAACTGGAAACGTAATAATATTCGCATCACAGGAGTCCCCGAAGAAGAAGAAAATGAGCAAGGGATAGAGAATATATTCAAAAAAATAGTGAGAGAAAACTTCCCTAATTTGGTGAAGGAAGAAGGCATTCCAGTTCAAGAAGCACAGAGAGTCCCAAGTAAGAAGAACCCAAACAGGCCCACACCAAGACACATAGTAATTAAAATGCCACAAATTAAAGACAAAGAGAGAATCCTAAAAGCAGCAAGAGATAAGCAACAGGTTACCTACAAAGGGAACCCCATAAGGCTCTCAGTGGACTTCTCACAAGAAACACTATAGGCCAGAAGAGAATGGCATGAAGTAATCAAAGTCATGAAAAACAAGAATCTGAATCCAAGACTACTCTACCCAGCAAGGCTATCATTCAAAATAGAAGGTCAAATAAAGAGCTTCCCAGACAAAAAAAGGCTAAGGGAATACATTAGCACCAAACCAGCACTGCAAGAAATGTTAACAGGACTGCTGTAATTAGCAGTAGAAATGGGAAGAAAAATAGAACCACACTAAACAAAAATGGCAATAAATAAGTACATATCAATAATCACCTTAAACGTTAATGGATTGAATGCTCCCATAAAGAGACACAGAGTAGCTGATTGGATAAGAAAGCATGACTCATCTATATGTTGTTTACAAGAGACCCACCTCTCAACAAAAGACTCACATAGGTTGAAAGTGAAGGGATGGAAAAAATTTTTCCAAGCAAATGGAAAGCAAAAAAAAGCTGGGGTAGCAATTCTCATATCGGATAAAATAGATTTCAAAATGAAGACCATACCTAGAGACAAAGACGGCCACTACATAATATTAAAAGGATCTATCCAACAGGAAGATATAACCTTGATAAACATATATGCACCCAATATAGGAGCACCAAAATATATTAAAAATCTTCTGGAGGACTTCCAAGGAGAAATCGACAACAATACAATCATAGCAGGGGACTTCAACACCCCATTGACAGCACTGGATAGATCCTCTAGGCAAAAAATTAGCAAGGAAACAGAGACTCTAAATGAAGCACTAGACCAAATGGATTTAATAGATATCTACAGAGAATTACACCCCAAAACTACAGAATACACATTCTTCTCAAGTGCACATGGGACATTCTCAAAGATAGACCACATGATAGGACACAAATTAAATCTCTACAAGTTCAAGAAGATTGAAATCATATCAAGCATCTTCTCAGATCACAATGGCATGAAACTAGAAATCAATTGCAACAAGAACATGCAAAGACATTTCAACACATGGAGGTTAAATAGCATGTTATTAAACAATGAATGGGTCACCGAGGAGATCAAGGAAGAAATTAAAAACTTCCTGGAAACCAATGAAAATGAACACACAACAACACAAAATCTATGGGATGCAGCAAAAGCAGTTCTGAGAGGGAAGTTCATAGCACTACAGGCCTACCTCAAAAAACAAGAAAAATTTCTAATTGACTGTCTAACCTCACAACTTAAAGAATTAGAAAGCAAACAAAAAGAAAACCCCAGAGCAAGTAGAAGGAAGGAAATAGTAAAGATCAGAGCAGAAATAAATGACATAGAGACCAAAAAAACAATTCAAAGGATCAATGAAACAAAGAGCTGGTTTTTCGAAAAGATAAACAAGATTGACAGACCCTTAGCTAGACTCACCAAGAAACAAAGAGAGAGAACCCAAATACACAAAATCAGAAATGAAAGAGGAGAAGTAACAACCAACACCACGGAAATACAAAAGATCGTTAACAACTACTATGAACAACTATATGGCAACAAATTCGAAAATCTAAGCGAAATGGACAAATTTCTAGAAACACACAGTCTCCCAAAACTATTTCCGGAAGAGATAGAAAACTTGAACAGACCAATAACAACCAAGGAAATTGAAGAGGTAATCAAGACTCTCCCAGCAAACAAAAGCCCAGGCCCAGATGGTTTCACGGGGGAGTTTTACCGAACACTCAAAAAAGAACTAACACCCATTCTCCTCAAACTATTTCAAAAAATTCAAGAAGAAGGAAGACTTCCAAACACGTTCTATGAGGCCAGCATAATTCTAATTCCAAAACCAGAAAAAGACACTACGAAGAAAGAAAACTACAGGCCAATATCCCTGATGAACATAGACGCCAAAATCCTGAACAAAATATTAGCAAATCGGATCCAGAAGTACATCAAAAAAATTATTCACCATGACCAAGTGGGATTCATTCCAGGGATGAAAGGCTGGTACAATATTCGCAAATCAATAAACGTGATACACCACATCAACAAAATGAAGAATAAAAACCACATGATCATATCAATAGATGCTGAAAAAGCATTCGACAAAATCCAGCATCCATTTCTGATAAAAACGCTCAGCAATGTAGGAATAGAGGGATCATATCTCGACATAATAAAGGCCATATATGAAAGACCTACAGCCAACATCATACTCAATGGACAGAAACTAAAAACATTTCCATTAAGAACAGGAACAAGACAGGGATGTCCACTTTCGCCACTCTTATTTAACATTGTACTGGAAGTCTTAGCCACAGCAATCAGACATGAAGAAAAAATAAAAGGGATCCAAATTGGAAAGGAGGAAGTGAAACTGTCATTATTTGCAGATGACATGATATTGTACATAGAAAACCCTAAAGACTCCATCAAAAATCTATTAGACTTAATAAATGAATTTGGCAAAGTAGCAGGATACAAAATTAACGTCAAGAAATCGACGGCATTCTTGTACATCAATGATGAACTCATAGAAAGAGAAACTGAAAAAACAATCCCATTTACCATTGCGCAAAAAAAATTACGATACCTAGGAATAAACTTAACCAAAGAAGTAAAGGACCTATTTGCAGAAAACTACAGGTCATTAAAAAAAGAAATAGAGGAAGATATAAAAAACTGGAAGCACATACCCTGTTCATGGATTGGAAGAATTAACATAATTAAAATGTCCATACTACCCAAAGCAATCTATAGATTCAATGCAATCCCCATCAAAATACCAACGACATATTTCATAGAACTAGAACAAATACTTCAAAAGTTCATATGGAACCAAAAAAGACCCTGAATAGCCACAGCAATCTTGAAAAAGAAGAACAAAGTAGGTGGGATCACAATACCAGATATCAGGTTATACTACAAAGCGACTGTAACCAAAACAGCCTGGTACTGGCACAAGAACAGGCATATAGACCAGTGGAACAGAACTGAAAACCCAGAAATGGACCCAAGGCAATATGCTCAATTAATATTTGACAAAGGTGGCAAGAGCATACAGTGGAGTAAAGACAGCCTCTTTAATAAATGGTGTTGGGAAAATTGGACAGCTACATGCAAAAAAATGAAACTAGACCATCAACTTACACCATACACAAAAATAAACTCAAAATGGATAAAAGACTTAAATGTGACCCGTGACTCCATAAAAATTCTAGAAGAAAATGTAGGCAAAAAAATTTCGGACATCATACGGAGCAGAATTTTCACTGATACATCACCTAAGGCAACAGAAATAAAGGAGAAAATGAACACATGGGACTACATCAAACTAAAAAGCTTCTGCACAGCAAAAGAAACAATCATCAAAATGGAAAGGCAACCCACTGTATGGGAGAACATCATTGCCAATGATGTATCAGATAAGGGGTTAATTTCAAATATATATACAGTGCTCATACAACTCCACAAAAGGAAGACAAAGAACCCAATTAAAAAATGGGCAGAGGAGCTGAATCGACACCTCTCCAAACAGGACATACAAATAGCCAAGAGACATATGAAGAAATGCTCAACATCACTAATCATCAGAGAGATGCAAATTAAAACAACAATGAGGTATCACCTCACACCTGTCAGAATGGCCGCCATCAACAAATCATCAAACAACAAGTGTTGGCGAGGGTGTGGAGAAAAGGGGACTCTAGTACACTGCTGGTGGGAATGCAGACTGGTGCAGCCGCTATGGAAAACAATATGGTGCTACCTCAAAAAATTAAAAATTGAACTTCCATTTGACCCAGTGATCCCACTGCTGGGAATATACCCTAAGAAGCCTGAAACACCAATCAGGAAGAATATATGTACCCCCATGTTCATAGCAACACTATTTACAATAGCTAAGATCTGGAAACAGCCCAAGTGTCCACCAGTAGACGAATGGATAAAAAAGCTGTGGTACATATACACAATGGAGTACTATGCAGCGGTAAGAAAGAAAGATCTCTTATCCTTTGAGACGACATGGAGGGACCTGGAAAGTATTATCCTAAGTGAAAGAAGCCAAGCAGAAAAAGACAAATACCACATGATCTCACTTATATACGGAATATAATGAACATAACAGTCTGAGGAATACAGTAGACCCAGACACATGGAAGTAGGGCACATACTGACATCCCTCAGAAGAGGGGATGGGGGGTGGGGGGATGGGAAGAGATAAACCACAGAACTTATATGCATGTATGCATGACCAATGGACATGGACAACTAAGCCGGGGACAGGGTGGAGGGGGGGTAGGGTGGGGGGGTGCCAATGTGGTAAAAAGGTAAAATATCTGTAACAAAAAAATAAATAAAAATTCATAAAAAAACAAACAAACAAAAAAAAGAATTATCTATTAATATTTTTTGACTAATTTACTACTGAGTCGTTGGTTTTTCTACTGATATAAAAAGGTTCTTTATACACATAAAAAATTAATCCCCACTGGTCAGTTTGGCTCAGCGGTTAGAGCATCAGTCCCAGGACCGAAAGGTTTCGGGTTTGATTTCCGATTTCGGATTCAATTCCTCATTGAGGGCACGTGCTTGGATTGTGGGTTTGGTCCCCGGCTCCAATTTATCCAACTGATAAATGTGTTTCTCTAGCACCGATATCTCTCTGTCTCCCTCCCTCCCTTCCATTCTCTCTAAAAACCAATGAAAAAACATCCTCCAGTGAGGATTAACAACAAATATATATATTTCCTATTCTGTTGTTTACCTTTTGATCGTGTAAAAAGTTTGACCTGTACAAATTTCTGAACTTTTATGTAGTCATAAAGTCTTTTTGTATAATTATAAACAGATACAGAAAACGTTCCACACCAAAAGCATTGCTAAACCATGAACTAAATCGGGGCATTTAATAAAACATTAACTTGAGCTTTATACTGTAAAAGATAACCAGGCAAAACAGAGTCAAAGAAGCATACCCAAGTGATGAATCTTTGTGAAGAATATCAAGAAGTTTCCCTTTTATATCATTTTCCAATGTTTCTAAGTTGTGGTCCTGTACAATACTTCTGTCAACTTGAGGAGTGGTATAAATGATATCAAACGTGGGAGAAGGAAAATCAACCTTAAAAATTTAACAGAAGTTTATCAAATTACAGCTGAATAGGCCATACATTTATATTAACTTCTTTGTCTCTGAAAAAATGTTTTTTTTTCCTTAGCCATCAAGGTGAATTTTAGACTGTATATTAAATTAATGTCCTTTTGATGAAAGTGATTATCATTGTTGGTAATTCTCAATAGCACATATATTGCTTGGGATGGGTACAAGGGCATATTTTACTATTTCTCAGAAATAGGAAATAGTTTATTAACATTTAAATTTAAAATAGATCCTAGAGTTGAAATAAGATTGATTAGGCTTCTTTAGTAACAATCCAAATTATGGTATACATACATTCTTTATAAAGAAATTTAAATTTAAATCTCTCCACATGTCAAGAAGTACCATTATCGTCCTGGCCAGGTGGTTCGGTGGCTTGGAGCGTTGTCCCAGGTACCAAAAGGTTGGGGGTTCAATTCCCCGTCAGGGGACATACTTAGGTTTAGGTTTGATCCCTGGTCCAGATTCACAAGGGAGGCAACCGATAGATGTTTCTCTCTCACATCTTTCTCTCTCTCTCCCTTTTCCTCTCTCCCTAAAATCCATAAACACATCCTCTGGTGAGGATTTTAAAAAAAAGTACCGCCTTGGTCAGTTTGGTTCAGTGGTTAGAGCATCGGCTTGAGGACCAAAGAGTCTCAGGTTTGATTCCAGCCAAGGGCACGTATTTGGTTTCAGTTCAGGGTTGTATGAAAGGCAACCAATGTGTCTTTCTCACATCGATGTTTCTCTTTCTCTCTCTTCCTTCCTTCTTCCCTTCCTCCCTCCTGCTCTATCTGAAGATAAATAAAAAAATGTCCTTGGGTGAGGATTAAAAAAAAAAGTACCATTACCTGTAACACTATTCTTTCCATCACATATCCTTTTTTGGAGATTGTTCCAGGAATAGGAGTTATATGTGACGAAGTCCAAAGATATAGAAGCTTAGTTCCACATGTTAAAAACCTTTATAATGTAAACAGAAGAATACTGTGGTTTTCATTTTAAAAATTAATTCAAAACTCACAACACATGGCAATGAATTTGAAATGTTAGCATTCAAATACTTATGAAGAATATCATCTCTGAAAACATATCAGGAGTCACTCTCCATAGAGTACTGATCTTTAGGTAAATGAATTAACGTGTGGGAGTTGGAACAAAGGAATAGAGAATGAAGGAACATATCTAAAGAGGAATGCAGTTGAGGGTAAAACAGAACACACTGTCCTGAAAACAACTTCTATAAACAAGAAGGTGAACGATAGTCTTTGAAGATCATCTACAAAGAAATCTGGTTTACAGAATTATTCCAACTTCTACCCTAAGAACAAAAACATATGCCAAAAAACCAGTACCTATTTTGTGACAGCACCAATCATTTGAGATGTTTTATTGGTATCCTGAACCAGGGGTCAGCAAATATTATCTCTAAAGGGCTAGAGAGTGATTATTTTGGGCTTCCTGGCCATATAATCTTTGTAGCAAAGACTCAACACTGCCATTATAGTGCAAGAGTAGCCATGAACAACACATAAATAAATATGTGTGCTGTATTCTAACAATATTGTGTTTACAAAAAAACAGGTTGTAGGTTGTAGTATGCTAACAATTGCCTTAGACAACCAGTTTATGGCCTACTTAAATAAAAACATTTATCAATAAAAATACTGACATATCTTTCCACAGAAAAAATTTCTGAAAACATGAAATACATATAAAAGCTGAAAACTGCCCAGCCGGTGTGGCTCAGAGGTTGAGCATCAACCCATGCACCAAGAGGCCTCCGGTTTGATTCCCAGTCAGGGCACAAGCCCAGGTTGTGGGCCCGATCCCCAGTGGGGGCATGCAGGAGGTGGCCAATCGATGTTCTCTCTCATCGATGTTTCTCTCTCTCTCTCCCTCTCCCTTCCGCTCTCTCTAAAATTAATTAAAAAATTTTTTTAAATAAATAATAAAAGCAGAAAACTATAAACTGCATTAAACTTTGTTCATTTTATTAAAAATAGCAAAATCCTTTCCAAAGTTAGACTCTGGTCCTAATGTTTTCTCTTACAGGTTAACAGTCTTTAAATCTTTGACACATTATATTTTGTCCTTTTCAGGACCACTCTCACCCCAAACTAGATTATTTTAAAGTAAATTCCAGTCACATTATTTCACCTGTAGATACTTTTATATATCTTGAAATGTTAAACAGTTTTATTTTTTATTTTTTTATTTTTTTTGTATCCTCACCCGAGGACATTTTTCCATTTTTTGTTCAGGTAGAGTGGGAGGGAAAGAGAGGAACAGAGAGAGAGAGAGAGAGAGAAACATCGATGTGAAAGGAACACATCGAGTGGCTGCCACCGCACGACTGACCAGAGCCGGGGACAAACTGCAACCGAGGTACACGCCCTTAACGGGAACCGAACCCGGGTCTCTCAGGACCGCAGGCCGACGCTTTAACCGCTGAGCCAAACCGGCCAGGGCAACAGTTTTATTTTTAAATAAGTACAATGCCATTAACACTCCTACAATAATTAATAACTACTTAAAATAATCAGCTATCTAGTCAGTATTCACATTTCCCCAGTTGTCTCAAAAATTTGTTTTATACTTGTTTTGTTCAAATAAGGATCCAAGCAAGGTCCAATACTTGCATTTGGTAGATATGTCTTTTTAAATATCTTTTATTTCAAGGGTCAACAAAACTCCAGCCTGTCACCTGGTTTTGTAAATAAACTTTTATTTTAACAAAGCCACACATTCATTTACATACTGTCTATCACTGCTTTTGCCTCTGTGACAGAGACCATGTGACATGCAAAGCCTAATTTACTTCTATCTGGTTCTCTTTACAGAAAAAGTTTGTAGCCCGGCAGGTATGGTTCAGTGATTGAGTATTGACCCACACATCAAGAGGTCACCAGTTTGATTCCCGGTCTGGGCACATGCCCAGTTTATGGGCCAAATCCCCAGTGGGGGGGGCATGCAGGAGGCAGCCAATTGATGTTCTCTCTCGTCAATGTTTCTATCTTTCTCTCCCACTCCCTTCCCCTCTCTTTAAAATAAATAAATAAATAGCCCTGACCGGTTTGGCTCAGCGGTTAGAGCGTCGGCCTGTGGTCCGGAGAGACCCGGGTTCGGTTCCCGCTAAGGGCATGTACTTCGGTTGCAGTTTGTCCCCGGCCCTGGTTGGTCATGCAGTGGCAGCCACTCGATGTGTCCCTTTCCCATCGATGTTTCTCTCTCTTTATCTCTTCCTCTCTCTCCCTCCCACTCTATCTGTACAAAAAATGGAAAAATGTCCTTGGGTGAGGATATAAAAAAAAAAAAGAAAAATAAATAAATAAATAAATAAATAAATAAAAGCTTGCTGATTCATGTTTTAATGTATACATCCTTCCTATCTACTCCACCCCCCTGCCATTTGTTGAAAAAACCAGGTCTTTTGTTCTGAGAATTTTCTTTATCCTGGATTTTACTAATTGCATTACTCTTATTATTTAGCATGTCTCTTTATCATCCTCTATATTTTCTGTAGTAAAGTAGTAGTTAGATCTAAAGGCTTGATCTGCTTTGGGTTTAGTTATCTGTCAAGAATACTTAATAGGTGGTATTGTATACTATTTTCTATTGCCTTAAATAAAGAGGCACACTTGTTTGGTTTATCTCTCTTCCTGTGCTAACATGATCAGTCTATTTAGATGCTTTCAGTCTAAACCATCCATTATAAAGTTCCAGAAAAGCTAATCACTTAATAGATTTTAAGCAGGTATTGATAATCACTGCTTAAATCAATGGTTCTTAACCAAGAGTGATTTTGCCCCCAGTAGACATTTGGCAATGTCTGGATACATTTTTGGTTGGCAACTGGGGTGCTACTGGCATCTAGTGGGCAGAAGCCAGGGATGCTGCCAAACATCCTACACTGCACAAGACAACCTCCCACAACTATCTGACCCAAAATATCAATAGTGCTGAGGCTGAGAAACCCTGGCCAACATCTAACTCTGACCTAAATTATTTCAGTAGGAGTTGCAAAATTATGATATTCTATCATTCCTTCTGCATTTATTAGCTGAAATTTTTCTATAAAAAACGTTCTCACATCAATTATTTGGTAACCCTGAGATACAATTGTAAAGGAAAGGCAAGTTAAAGGCTCGATTCTAGCCCTGGCCGGTTTGGCTCAGCGGTTAGAGCGTCGGCCTGTGGTCCAGAAAGACCTGGGTTTGGTTCACGCTAAGGGCATGTACCTCGGTTGCAGTTTGTCCCCGGCCCTGATTGGGTCATGCGGGTGGCAACCACTTGATGTGTCCCTTTCACATCGATGTTTCTCTCTCTCTCTCTCTCTCTCTCTCTCTCTCTTTCTTCCTCTCTTTCTCTCTCTCTCTACCTCCCTCCCACTCTATCAGAACAAAAAATGGAAAAATGTCCTCAAGTGAGGATTAAAAAAAACAAACAAAAAAAACAATCCTCACCTGAGGATATTCTTAAAGGCTTGATTCTGTTTATTTAAAAATGAGCTAACTGCCCTGGCCAGTTTGGCTCAGTGGTTGGAGTGTCGGCCTGTGGTCCACAGAGACCCAGGTTTGGTTACTACTAAGGGCATGTACCTCGGTTGCAGTTTGTCCCCGGCCCTGGTTGGTTATACGGGTGGCAACCACTTGATGTGTCCCTTTCACGTCGATGTTTCTCTCTCTCTCTCTCTCCCTCCCATTCTGTCTGAAAAAAAAATGTCCTTGGGTGAGGATTTAAAGAATAATTAATAAATAAATAAATAAATAAATAAATAAATAAATAAATAAAACGAGTTAACTAATTTGCTGCTGAGGCTGACTGAAATGCCTCTAAGTCATTTGGTTTCCATGACAGTGACTTCAGCAGGCTGTATAAAAGGTGCCCCATAACATAAATTATTTTTAAAAAAGTGTCAAGACCAGGCCCTGGCAGATTTGCTAAATGGTTAGAGCATCAGCCTGCAGCCCAATGAGCTGCGAGTTCGATTCCAGTCAAGGGCATGTTATCTTGGCTGCGGTTCGTCCCCAGCCCTGACTGGGGTCGTACAGGGGGCAACCAGTTGATGTGTCCCTCTCACATTGATGTTTCTCTCTCTCTCTCTCCCTCTCACTCTATCTGAACAAAAACGGAAAAATATCCTAGGTGAAGGATTAAAAAAAAATTTCAAGACCAGGATTTAGGATTATGATCCTATAGCACATTAATTACCACTTTGTTTCTCTATATGCATTAATGTAAAATCATCTTCCCTCTTAATTTCTGAGTATCTTTTAATGTAAAGTACTAACATTACCTAGATTTACTGCACTACTTGGCAAAGTCTCAAACTGAATGCCATCTGATCACTATTTTATTAACAGCAGAGTGCTAGATGCAAATTATTTAATTGTCTAACATCACCTTACTCTCTTAAATTTTGAAAAATGTTATATCCTTCTCCTACAAATAAAATTCTACCACTTATTAGCTAAGTACCATAGGGCAAGTCACTGAAGCTCTCTGTAACAAGAAAGGGATAATAGCAATGCCTACCTTCATAGAGTTGCTGTGAGGAATATAAGGATATGTATCCAGCACTCAGACTAATAATACCTAGCACACAATAAATGCTACAGACTTATCAGAGAGTAACATTGTTATTAAACATAATAGGTTTCTTGACCCCAAAGGTAGCAATATGTACTTGAATATGCTAACATGCATTATCACTCTCCAACATGTTACCATGTAGCATATGAAACATATCCCAAACTTAATTTCAATTGATTTTTTTTTTCATTTAGAAAGACTCTTGATGGTCTCATGCAACATACTGCTACTTAAAACATAATTTAAATTGTAGCTGAAAGGTCAGGTAGATTACACTATCCTACTATTAGTAAACACAAAGCTTGGAATGAATCCCTTCACCCCTAAGGATCATTGAGTTTTTGTACCCATGTGGAACCTTTGGAGATTAAGGGCCAGGAGCCCATAGCAGTAAGGGTAGATCAGTCAGGTAGTCAGGTAAGAAGAGAATAATATTTAGTTGTAAACTCCCTGAAATTTGAGAAGTATGAGATAGGGATGAGAAGAGGAAAAAAATGGAATTGTCTCAATAATATCAAGGGCACCTAAAAGACCATAAGTATTATGTCAATAATATAGTGCTTGCATAAAATGACAGTTAGTGAACCAGTTGCTGCTTTTCTCCTGTAAGAGTGAGTGGCAAACAATCCTTTGAATACCCATATAGATATGTTCAAACTAGAGCAGAATAACTTTTGGTTTCCTCTGATCTGTGTCTCTGAAATGACCTCCTTTTATCACATTGAAAAAATTGAGGCAGCTCATTATCTCAGGTTTGTCATTATTCCCCACCCTGTTCTCTAGCCAATTTTGAGGCTGCAGATTTGTCCACAGTAACTCACCATCACAACTCAGTAACACTCACCGTTTAAAATCAAAAAGAGGTAAAGAAACTTTGCCCAAAACTTCTGGCCCCTTTCTCTGCTTATTAGAATCAGGGGAACTTCCACTGCTCTGATTTAAAATTCCAAAAAGAGTAAGGTGAAGAAGTGATTCTAATGGCAATTGTGAGATCTGGATGGGAAAAATAATTCTATGGGGGGAAAATGTATTAATAGAAAAAACACATTAGAATGAATATGAAGATTAACCGTTTAATGAAACTGACAATTTTAGGTATTTTATTTGACTTATCAAATAATCTTTAATCCAGAGTCTCCTTTACTTAGTAGAAAGACTGGCTAACATGTATGATAAATTTTTTAAACACATTTTATTAAAATTTCAAATATATAACATTTCTTTCTTCAAAATTTGTTAGTACCTTTATTCAAGACTTATAATGCTTATTTCTAGGCAAAATTATAGTAGTCATTTTTATTTCCTTTAGGAAAAACTAGATAAATGTTTTTGAGTATTTCTGATTCAGGATGTATACATGCACATACATACACAACAGTTATATATATGTTTACAATTTTTTTTTTAGTCTGAAAGGACACATAAGGTCAATAGGTCACTCTGAGGAGCCATGAGATGGTTAAGTGTTGAAAAGAAAGTGACACTTTTACCTTATGTGCATTTTATATTATATGATTAGTTTCACAGACAAGTTATTTTTGTAATTTAAAAAAGAAAAGAATAGGAAATCATTTAATAAATACAGGATAAAAAGTAAAAAGTTCTGCCCGGCCAGTGTGGCTCAGTAGCTGAGCATAGACCCATGCACCAAGAGGTCACTGGTTCAATTCCAAGTCTGGGCACATGCCCAGGTTGTGGGCTGGATCCCCAGTAGGGGGCATGCAGGAGGTGGCCAATCGATATTCTCTCTCTCTCTCTCTCTCTCCCCCTATACCTTCCTCTCTCTCTCAAAAAGCAATAAAGAAAAAAATTTTAAAAAAATTTAAAAAAAGTAAAAAGTTCTGCAATGGCCCAAGTAATGGAAACATTCTAAAAACAGTATTTTAAAAATATTAACAGTGCAAATATCATATTGTACATGGACTCGAGATCATTTTATCTGTTTACCAAAAACTTGGCTTCATATATACAGTATTACAGAATACTAAACTAAGCAATGTTATAACATACTACCTTTCTTGAGTTATTTGTAAATTTGTATTTTTAACTTGACAAAGTCTAGGAAGAATGGCATATTTCTGCAATTGCAAAACATTTAAAAGAGTATTTCAGATTTTTAAATCAGAATTTAAATCTGTTCTATAGAATCATATCTAGAAGAAACCTTAAGATGTCTGTAAAAATGTAATGGATTTTAATGAAAATTTGTAATAAAAATAAAAACTAGGATGCGTACATGGAAAAAAGTAAATAGGACATACTAAAAAAATCAAAAGTCATAAATTTCACTTACAGTTCATCCCATTTAATAAGATAGAAGAAATTCTTATAAGTGCCAACCTTCTTTGATTGAATAGGTTTAAAAAGATCCTTTCCATTGTGAGACAGGGAACATATCAAGTAGTACTTTTCATAACTGAGGAAAAAAGAGTATAATTTAATTTTTAATTGATAATACAAATTAGTTGACTAATACAAATCCATATATCATTAGCCTTCCTTCCTAAAAGTGACAATTATCTGAAATAATTTGGTCACCATTCATTTGAACTTAGGAAAAAAACCCTCAAATTTAACTACTGTAAATTCTGTAAAATAGAGAAGAGATATAGCAAAGAGAACACGTATCCCTAGCTGCTAGTCTAAGGGGGCAAAATGATACCAGCTAGAGAACTTATCTAAATTTTGTGCTCAGTTAATTTCTAGCTTCAGATATTAGCTGAATGACATTGAGTAATTATTCATTTCTGGGTAAATTCTAGGAAAAAAGAGTACAAATATTATCTCCCTTAGGTGTCATTTTCCTTTGCTAAGCTACTGAAATACAGTCAGTTAAGCATATGAATAGGGCATTAGTCTGACTTGCACTGAGTCAGTCTTTATTAGGAGGTATCCATCTTTGGGGACAGATGCTGTTATATTCTCTCATTAGACAGCAACAATTTAGCTGCAAATTGCCACAAGTATAGAGCTGGTTAGATATAATGAGGCAATCTTGTAGGACAGAAGTCTTAGGTGCAATAAAACTATATTTTACTAGTTTTCTAACTTACTGCAGGCTTACACATTAACCACTTTGTTCATATACACAATGTGTTATAAATATTTTTCAAATCTAATCTCATTGGCCCACAACACAACCCCAGCTAAGGATTTGATTGTTTTTCTCAATTTCATTCCATTTGTTCTTCTTTATTTCAGCATTTTATTAACTTTATTTCTTACTTATCATTGTAATTTTCTGCCTTGTCTTTTGCTAAGTATCTGTTCTCTTTATTAGTGTCCCTAAATTTATTTCTGTGTGTATAGATGATATAGAAGATATTATCCCTGTAACTAGTTAAAAGAAGAAATACCTTCAGAGAGCAGTAATACCCCTTTAAATGCAAGTTCCAGGAGGGCAGCATTTTGCTGCCTTATTTACTGCTGAATGTCTAGTAGCACAAAGAACACTGCCCACAGACAGCTCAGTAAATATTTCTCGAATGAATTAATACCACATTCAATTCATCATGTTATTTTTTATATTTCATTTTTTTATTTTATTCAAAGCTCAATTTAAGCAGAAGTGATGTTGATATCTCTTTACTAGGCTTTATTTTATACCTCCAACCTATTATGAAACTATTTAATTTAAAATATTCAATTCAGACTTTTCAGTTTATATTACTTATTTGTAAATAAGTTGAAGTTGGCAAACTTTATGGTATTGACAAAAATGAGAAAGGAAAAACCCATATTTAAAATTGTAGAAGAGCTCAGGTCAGTGTGGCTAAGCTGGTTCGAGGGTTGTCCCGCACACCGAAAGGAAACAGTTTCGATTCCTGGTCAGGACTCATGCCTAGGTTGTGAGTTCATATGGAAAGTAATCCATTGATAGTTCTCTCTCACATAAATGTTTCTTTTTCGTGAAGGAAGGAAGGAAGGAAGGAAGGAAGGAAGGAAGGAAGGAAGGAAGGAAGGAAGGAAGGAAGGAAGGAAGGAAGGAAGGAAGGAGAGAGAGAGAAGAGAGAAGAAAGAGAGAGAGAAAGAAAGAGAGAGAAGAAAGAAAGAAGAGAGAGAGAGAGAGAAAGAAAGAAAGAAAGAGAAGAAAGAAAGAAAGAAAGAAAGAAAGAAAGAAAGAGAGAGAGAAAGAAAGAGAGAGAGAAAGAAAGAGAGAGAGAAAGAAAGAAAGAGAGAGAAAGAAAGAAAGAGAGAAAGGGAGAGAAAGGGAGAAAGAAAAACAATGATTTTGTCCTCTGGTGAAGATTAAAAAAAAAAAATTATAGAAGAAAGCCACTCTTGTAGACCTCAAAGCCAAGCAATCACCAAACTACTAAAAAGGAAAAAAAAATGGCATGAAGTCTAGTCCCATCACACTGTTCCAAATTATTCTGGTTCTAAAGAAAAGGAAAAAGAATAGCAGTCGTAAACTGACTAATTTATTAATCAACGTTTGCTCTTATAAGTTTAAATATATTTTCCTGCCTTTTTTGCATGTAGTGGAAGTGATATTTTTTACTGGAACAACTCCAAAAATCTGTAATTTTTATGAAATCCACAAAGGTGTCTGGTGATTTAAATACCAAAATAACAATGAGTGCTGACATTTTATAAGACTGGAATAACTTCTAGGTAAAGCTGTACATATCTTCTTTTAAACAGTTACTTACGTTGACACCCAGTTACTTGAAATTCCATGTGCAGCAAAAATTGTAAACTGGAGCTGTTCTGCTGTGGTCCATGCTTCCTTGATATTTTTGTTACTTTGGGCACAGTCCATAGGACTCCTACCGGAATTTCCATGGAGTCTGAGAAGATCATAAATTGCTGCAGTTAACTGGTCTATGCTTACTTGAACAGGATTTTCAGGATTCAGCGAGCCTAGATATAAAGATATTGTTAATATAATTATCTGAAAAAGCAACAGTCATTGTTAAAATTTTAAAAACTTAAAGACATACATACCTCCAATTGAACTCTTGCTAGTCTCTCCCTTTCCAGAAGTCACCTGCATACACATACAAATCAGTCAAAAAATTGCCTAAGAAATAATTCAATTTTTTAAAAATCAGAGTAACTGAAAATTACTGCAAAATATACAAACTCAACAAAATCTGCCTCATTAAACTAAATTAAGATTTGAAACCCAAAGTAATAAATATTCTAATACAGTATTTTATTTTCCATTGGCTGCTCTACTTATGGTCTGCAATAAGGATAGTCTTAAAGAAACTAGAACTCTATTACCATTGAGTGTCTCAAAACTCTATTACCATTGAGTGTCTCAAAACAGCTTTTATAATTATTTAATTGAGCTCTCTTCAGACTCTCTGCTTCTTTATCCAGAAAATTAAAATAATGAATAGAAACCTCAAACAGTAGACCATGGTAGTTGATCACCTCCAAGTGATTTTACATATATTTAAAATTTTTTTAAAACAAGCACACAAGAAGGAAAACAAGCACACAAGAAGGAAAAAAGAGTCATATTTCTGTATACCATATTGACAGGCTTTCTGACAATAAATGGATTGAGCTATCTCCTAGATATTTGTTGAGGGGCATACCATCAACATAACTAAATTTATCATGTTTTGCGATCCACATTCTCTCAGTAAAAGCTATGAACATCCCTATGAACAGAATCAATTAAATCTCCATGGAAATACAATGGGGAGGGCTTTTACTAAGAGCAACAGCAAGCTATCAAACAAGGTCTCCAACCCTGGCCGGTTTGGCTCAGTGGTTGGAGCATCAGCCTGCAGACCAGAGAGTCCCAGGTTTGGTTCCCACTAGGGGCACGTACCAAAAAAAAAAACCGAGGACTCCTAACATGGTTTCTACTGAGGCAATAAGTCACTATTACTGAGGCATTTGGATCTTTTCAACAAGGAGGAGGTATAGTCCAAAAGAGGATGTCCCCTTTTGGTAGTCATCCACATTCCATCCAGGGGGAGAAATGGTACCTGCTACCATGCAGGCAGGTCTTTCAAGCCAACCAACTCATTTATGCTAGAGTTCCTGCTCTACATATAAAAGATTGAGAGCTTGGCATCCACCTATTCAATGTCAACTATCAAAAAGTTCTTCCAAGGCAGCCCATCTCCTCTTAGGAATTCCCCACTTCATCAAGTAAGTTACCCAATCAACTCAACAGTAAAAACTAAGTTAAAATAACCTTTCGTCCAACAGGAGCAGAAATCTGCCAATCTAAGTGATAGATGCTCACTTAAGTACATATCTACATGTAATAAAATGCTAATTACTATAAAATACTCACATCAGCACTTTTACTCCTTGGAAGATTAACTGCTCTCTTTAGCTTCTTTACTGATTCTGTAATAGCAGGAGTCTCTACACCATCTAAAGCACTACAGATTTTTCTTACGGCTCTAATTACTTGATCTACTGCTCGGTGCTGGTTCTTTAAAGATAAAAAGTAAAATAAACATAAGTATGTGAAATTAAAAGAATCAATTTCAGACATGAAGTCAGAAACTAGACATTTCAGATATACCTAAGAACAGATATCCTTTACTCTTTTGTGATGAAAAAGAAAAGAAACAAGATAGCATTTCAATTACATAGTTTACTTTAAAGTAGAAAAAAGCACGCCTGGTTAATTTTCACTTTGCCTGACACAATTATTTATATGCAATGTCATTAATTTCACATTAGAATCAGTTGTAATAGCAATAAATTACTGACAAATTATTAAATCACTTAAAAAATTATCTTTTTAAATTCTCATTTGGGAATAATTTCCACATTAAAAACATCAACCCTTGTCTCCCTCCTGCAAAAATCTGGTACCAAAAACCAAGTTATTGACAGGTTAGTAACATAAAATAACTCTGGGTAACAGTTACTGGAAATGAGCCAACTTTTAAGCATAATTTGTATTTATACAACCATCATTTTTAAAGTTCTATCCAATGAAAAAAGTTCCTTGAGCACAATCCCTGTGAATTATTCAACTACAGCTGATTTCACCATGACTCAAAAGTATACACGTACAAATATGTAATAAAACCATTTACCTGATAAGACTGATTTAAAAATACTTCTCCACTCCCCATCATCATTTTAAAGTATACATACCATTAAGAAACATTTTTATATAATGCATTAAATCACTAAATATTTATGCCAAACTTACATGTCAAGTACTGTTAGAATGGGCTGAAACTCAGTACTGTACCACCCCTTAAAAATTAAAATTTTTCCACCCTTGAGGCTTGGCTACCATAAACCGAATGTTCCCTTCACCTTCATGTTTAAATGAAACCACTTCATTTTCTCAAATACCTAATTACCCAGCAGTCCTCAGGGCCTGAAGGTCTGTTATCTAGCTCCCCATTTTTTGGTTACTTATATTTCTGCTTACTATTACTCCTCCACCTTCATGCAAAAACTTTCCAGTTTTGAGGCCCATGTAATTCTCCTATACTTTTCTTCATCATTTTTTATGTACCAATTACCAAATTATTGTGTGTCAGTTTTGAATCCACCCTTCTTTGGAACTAGACCCTGTCAACATTTCTCTTTTGCCATTTGGCACAATGTTAGGAATTGTCTATAGAGGGCATCAAAGGGATACTCAGAGGCACTAGTAGCACAAAAGTAACTCCACACCCCCCCCAATTGATTTTAGAGAGAGAGGAAGTAAAAGGGAGAGACAGATAGATACATGGATGAGAGAGAACATCGATTGGCCGCCTCATGCATGCCCCTCACTGGGGATCGGGCCCACAACTTGGGTATGTGTCCTGACTAGGAATCGAATCAGTGACCTCTTGGTGCATGGGTGGACACTCAATCACTGAGCCGCACCAGCCAGACGAAAAAGATTTTTTTAAAGGCCAGATAGTAAATGTTTTAGGCTTTGTGGGCCACACAGTCTCTGTCACAATTTAATTTTGTATTAGGACATGAAAATTGACATGAATAATTCATAAATGAATAAGCATGGCTATCTTTCAATAAAACTTTATTTACAAAAACATGTGACAGGCTAGATTTGGCATGTCAACAGTATGCAAATTCCTGCTTTAGAGTCCTCTTTAACCCTTTGTAGTAATTAACTACATTTTACTAATTAACGATTATTTCAATTTCCCTGTTCAAATAACTATTATAGTTTCTTTCTCCTGAGTTGGCCACTGACTTAGTGATCTGCCTTGCCATTGATGTGTGGTCACTTCTCCCACTGCATTTTTGTTCTGCATATTTATCTGACTTTCTACCCTATATCCTATAATAACCCTCAGTTACATAAATGTCTGTGTGGAAAACTCACATATCTTCAAACCCAAAACTGTACCCTATCAAACTCTCATCTACAGTGTCATGCTCGGATCACAATCACCTTTGCCTCCAGCCCTCACACTCTCATTCTGACAAAAAACGCGTTTTCTGAGCTCTGAAACTTCCTGGCTTCTTCTACCAGACAGTTCTTAAAAAAAAAATCTTAACAACCATACAGATTCAAGAATACCCAGTTACAGCAGGAAGCTGCATGCCACTGAAGATTCATTTTATCTGTCTTGGTCAGTTCTCTTTCCCATTTCTCTTAGAATATAAAGCCAAACCATATGTCTTGCCTCCAAACCCCTACTATAACCCTAACTTCATTTTATTAAAATAAATTAACATCGTTTATCTAGAAAACAAAAGTGAAGAGGAATTAAAACTTCTGCAACTTCCTGACCTCCCCTAAACATATGCAGGAGAAATTAAAACATATATCCACACAAAGACTTATACACAAATGTTTATAGCAGCATTATTTATAAGCAAAAACTGTAAATAGTCCAAATGTCATTATTTGTTGACTGGATAAACAAAAAGTGGTATATCAATACAATCGAAGTATTCAGCAATAAAAAAAGGAACAAAGTATGGATATACCCTATAACTTATATATTACAACATGGACAGGGCATAAAAATAGTACAGTATAACCTGGTCGGTTTTGCTCAGTAGTTAGAGCATCGGCCCGAAGACCAGAGAGTCCCGGGTGCGGCTCTTGCTAAGGGCATGTACCTCAGCTGCAGTTTGTCCCGCCCTGGCTGGGGTCATGTGGGTGGCAACCCTTTGATGTGTCTCTCTCACACTGATGTTTCTCCCTCTCTCTCTTCCTCCCCTTCTCTATCTGAAGATAAATACAAAAATGTCCTCAGGTGAAGATTAAAAAAAAAATTACATACGGTATGATTCCATTTACGTGAAATCTCTATTAAAGGCAAACGTATCAAGACAGAACCAGACGGTAGTTGTTTGGGGCTAGGAATGGGGAACGACGGCAAAGTAGCACATGTAAACTTTTGAGAATGATGAAAATGTTCTAAAACTGGTAATAATTATACAACTCTATGTATTTACTATAAGAATCACTGAATTGTACACATCCATACAATGGGTAAATTTTATGGAATATAAATTATATCTTAACAAAGCTATAAAAATATGGGGAGTAAATATGATAGTTACTCTTTTAGATAAGATGGTGAGTAAAGAACTCTCCGATAAGACATGAGCACAAGCCTTAATGAACTGAAAAGATAAGCCATGCAAGTATATGGGGGAAGAGCCTTAATAGAAAGAACAAACACAAAAGTCCCACTTGGAGGGCATACCTGCAGATCAACCACAACAAAGGAGGAGGAGGCCAGATTAGTGAGGTAGTAAGTAGGAATATATAGAGCCTTGAGGCCACAATTAGGGCTTTGAATTTTACTGAGATAGGAAATGAATTTTTTAGCAGAAGAATGGCATAATGTAACATTTTAATAAGGTTCATAAATTGTATTAATCTTTTCAAAGAACCATCTTTTTGGTTTTGATTTTCTTTTTTTTTTTTATCCTCACCCGAGGTCATTTTTCCATTTTTTATTCAGATAGGGCGGGAGGGAGAGAGAGGAAGAGAGAGAGAGAGAAACATCGATGTGAAAGGGACACATCGAGTGGCTGCCTCCCGCATGACCCAACCAGGCCCGGGGACAAACTGCAACCGAGGTACATGCCCTTAGCGGGAACCGAACCCGGGTCTCTCTGGACCGCAGGCTGACGCTCTAACCGCTGAGCCAAACCGGCCAGGGCTGTTTTGATTTTCTTTTCTTTTACATTTGCTTTCTGTGCTTATTTTCATTTTATAAAATAAATCTTTTATTTTGTAATAATTTTATATTATAGAAAAGTTGCAAAAATAGTAAAGAGTTCTTGTATAGCATTAAAGGAAACTAATTTAAGTAGCTTCTTACATCTCCCTGTTACATTTGTCAAAATTAAGACATTAGCACTGGTACATTACTATTGTACTTTATTCAGATTTCACCAGTTTTTCCATTAATTTCCTTTTCGTCTCCCAGGATAAAATCCAAGATACCACACTGCATTTAGAGACTTATTTTTAAACGATCATTTTGATTATCTGTGGAAGACAGACCACGTAAAAATAGAAGCTGAGAGACTGTAAGGAACTACTGTAATTATCATAATCGACTAGGACTGTAGCTTTGATAGTGATAAAAAGTGGTTACATTCTCAATATTTTCAAGGTAGAACAGGCAGGAATTAGATTGAATGTGGGATAAGAAAGATCTTTTTCTTGAGAAATCAAATATGACCCCAAGATTTTGGCCAGGGCAAACGGAAGGACAAAGTTATCATTTATTAAGAAGGGGAATTGAGCCCTGGCCGGTTTGGCTCAGCGGTTAGAGTGTCTGCCCGCAGACCAGAGAGACCCGGGTTCGGTTTCCGCTAAGGGCACATACCTTGGTTGCAGTTTGTCCCCAGCCCCGGTTGGGGTCGTGTGGGTGGCAGCCACTCGATGTTTCTCTCTCTCTCTCTTCCTCCTTCTCTCCCTCCCACTCTGTCTGAAGATAAATGCAAGAATGTCCTCGGGTAAGGATAAAATAAATAAATAAAAAATATTTTTAAAAATTAGCAAAAAAAAAAAGAAGGGGAATTGTGATAAACAGATATGAATAGTATTAAAAATTCCATTTTCTAGATCTTAAATTTGACATGTCAAGTAATAGATATCTGAATGTGGAGTTTAGGAAAGAGGTTAAGTCTGGAGATATAATTTGAACCATAAGCATGTGTAGGGTTATTAAAGACAAGAAATTATGTGAGATCATCTAGGATGTGAATACAGAGAGAAGAAAAGAGGTACTAGAACTGAACCCTGAGGCATTCTAATATTTAAACATCAGGAAGATAAGGAGATCGGGAGGAAGCCACAGGTAAGAGTGAGAACAGAGCAAACATTGGAAGTAGGAGAATAAAGAAAGTGATATCCCAGAGGCCATGTGAGTGCTTTAAGAAGGAAGAAGCAATCAACCATGCCAAACACTGCAGAAAATTTGAGAAAAATAAAGACAAAGAACTTATTACTGAAAACATGATCATGGAAGTCCT